CTGGCTGAGGTCGATATACTAGGGCGGCAGGGTGAGGTTAGGGTTCGCAGACAAAATGGGCGCGGGGGGTTTTGTCAATCTGGAATTTGACAGTCGCGAAGCCCCCCTTTACCTAGCCGCGAGCCGGCTGGCTCGAAAACGAGCCAGCTCGAGCCGGCTCGACTCCGGCTCGCCTGATTTCGTGTGCGCGAGCCGAGCCGAGCCGCCGGCTCGGGTCGAGCCGAGCTGGCTCGGGTCGAGCCGAGCCGGCTCGGCTCGAGTCGAGCCGGGTACAAAACCAAGAGGCTCGGCTCGTTTTTAAGGCGAGCCGAGCCGAGCCGAGCCAGGTGTGGCTCGGCTTGTGCCCATGTCTACTCGCAGGGCAAGTGCCGCTAGAGGCAGCGGACCTTCTCACCGCCTCAAGATTGCTGGCATTCACCAAACCCGACGGCGGCACCAGGCCCATCGCCATCGGCGAGTGCCTACTACGCCTCTTCGGGAAGGCCAGCCTGCACCTCACGACGACCCTGGACCAAGCCCACTTCGCGCCCCTGCAGTTCGGAGTGGCGATGAAGGGAGGGGGCGAAACGGCGGTGCACGCAACAAGAACCCACCTCGGGCAGCACCCCGAACACCTGCTCCTCCGGGTGGACTTCTCCAACGCGTTCAACTCATCGAACGCATCGCTTTCTTCCGCGCCCTACGCGACAGCCCGCTCAAAGGGCTGCTGCCCTAACCCGCCTCTCCTATGGAAGGCCATCGAGCCTGCTGCTCGACCACGCATTCGGCGCCGACCCGCTCATCAGCGAGCGGGGCGTACGGCAAGGCGACCCGCTGGGCCCCATGCTGTTCGCCCTCGCCCTCCACCAGGCGCTGCGCATGACAGCAGAGGAGTACCCAGACGTCCTCCTACTGGCATACGCCGACGACGTGACCATCATCGGCCCGCCGCCGGCATGCGCAGCCGCCTTCTATGCCCTCACGGGTCAGGCAGCAGCGGTTGGACTCACCTGCAACGCCAGCAAGTGCGCGGCCTGGTCACCCGCACCGGTGGACCCCGCGCTCATCCCCGCCGGAGTACCACTCACCCATGACGCCATCAAGGTCCTGGGCAGCCCCATCGGCACCACCTACGGATGCGGGGACGTCATCCGCCACACGCTCGAAAAAGCGGCAGCGGCGCTCCCCCTGGTAGAGCAACTACACCCGCAAGTCGCGCTGCTGCTCCTCACCCGCTGCATCACGAGGAGGGCATCCTACCTCCTCCGCACCACCCCCACCGACCTCCTCCCCCCGAGGAATGGACGCAGGGGGAAGTCCTTGCTGGAAGCAGCGCTCAAGTCATGCGAGCTCCAGCAGCCACGGGACGCTGAAGGCCGAGATCTCCTCTGGCGACAGGCGACCTTGCCGATCACCATAGGAGGCCTCGGCCTCATCGACCCCGCCGCGGAAGGCAGCTACAGCTACCTGGCCTCCGCACTACAGGCCGGTGACCTCCTCCGCTCCATGGAACCCCCTGACCCTCACCCCTCGTCGACCTCCTCCACCTCCTCACTCCGCCCTTCACCGCCCAAACGCTTCTACACCGCCTGCTCAACTGCCTGGAAGCGGCACTCCCCGAACCAGCGCAGTCAACACTCACCCGCCCGCGCGACGAACCTGGCGCCAAGCTCCAGCATGCCCTAGCATTGGAGGTACACGGGGCCAGGCACGCACGGCTGGTGGCAGACTCCAGACACATGCCACTCAACCCCCTCCTGGGTCACACCCAGCACCTCCTCTCCCTGCTCGGGCCAGGGGCAGGGGACTGGCTGGTCGCCATTCCCTTCTCCCCGGACCTAAGCATGAGCAAGGGGCAATTTGCCACGGCCCTAGCCTTCCGCATGGGCCTGCAGCACTCCCTACCCGGCAAATGCAACTGCCGGGAGAAGCATGAGATACCAGACAACCGGCTGCCCAACCACATGCTACGATGCACCCTGGGCGGGGGTCCAAAGCGGACCCACGACGCACTCGTGAACCTCGGGATGCGACTGGCCTGAGAATCCCACTTCGTGGCCCACATGGAATCCACACTCTACTTACCCGAAACTGCCCAACGCCGCGCCGACATCACCCTCCGATGCCCGGACTCAGGCGCGGTATGGGTCTGTGACGTCACAGTCACCGACCCCATCTCAACCCGCGACCCAACAGCACGAAAAGGGACGGGGTGGATGGCGGCAGAGATGCAGGGCAAGAAGCGGGACCTGTACGACGAACGACTCACCTTTGTGAAGGTGCTGGGAGTCGCCACTGAGACATATGGCTGCTGCTCCCCCGACACACTCGAGTTCCTCCGAGTCCTGGCCGCCCTCTCAGCCCGCCGGAACCACCAGGCCGACGAAAAGTCGGCGGTGGCAAAGAAGGTACTGCACAGCTATCGCCAGAGGTGGTCAGTCACCCTCCAGCGGCAGCAGGCAATCACCCTCCATGCGAAAATTGGCCAGGTGACAGGCCAAGCTTTCAGCCACGACCGCCCCCTAGACAAACCCCTTACCTGGGGAGAACTTGAAGCCACCATTGAACCTACCTGCGACAGGTGGCCCGGGCAGCAGTAGGATGCTCGGGGACACCAGGACATACGTAACCCTGTTTTGTACCTCTGTACCCCTTATAAACATAATAAAGGACCGCTTGAGAGAGAGAGAGAGAGAGAGAGAGAGAGAGAGAGAGAGAGAGAGAGAGAGAGAGAGCATGAGTCCCTCTCCAGCTATATAAGCTCTCTCCCTCCCTCATTCTTCCTGTTTAGTTTCCAGTTCTTTCTTTTCTCCAACCCTTGGTGGCGAGAGAGAGGAGAGAGAGAGCGAGAGAGAGAGAGAGAGAGCATGAGTCCCTCTCCAGCTATATAAGCTCTCTCCCTCCCTCATTCTTCCTGTTTAGTTTCCAGTTCTTTCTTTTCTCCAACCCTTGGTGGCGAGAGAGAGGAGAGAGAGAGCGAGAGAGAGAGAGAGAGAGCATGAGTCCTCTCCAGCTATATAAGCTCTCTCCCTCCCTCATTCTTCCTGTTTAGTTTCCAGTTCTTTCTTTTCTCCAACCCTTGGTGGCGAGAGAGAGGAGAGAGAGAGCGAGAGAGAGAGAGAGAGAGCATGAGTCCCTCTCCAGCTATATAAGCTCTCTCCCTCCCTCATTCTTCCTGTTTAGTTTCCAGTTCTTTCTTTTCTCCAACCCTTGGTGGCGAGAGAGAGGAGAGAGAGAGCGAGAGAGAGAGAGAGAGAGCATGAGTCCCTCTCCAGCTATATAAGCTCTCTCCCTCCCTCATTCTTCCTGTTTAGTTTCCAGTTCTTTCTTTTCTCCAACCCTTGGTGGCGGCTCGCGTCGGCGGCCTTCGGCCGCCGACGCTCGCAGCGCGGCCTTCGGCCGCGCGTGAGGGGCGGCAAGGACACAAGGCTACAAAGTCAACTACGACAACATCAAATACACGCATCCGGGGTCTACAACCCTCCAACGCTACATTTGGCAAACAGGCATGGAGAGCCTCACAGAGCTTACCAGAGCGCTCACGCTAGAGCGCACTTCACCAACCAGAACCTACACACGACGGCAGCCCATCATACGGCTTCGTCCGCTCCAGCCTCCTCAAGCAGGGCCCTCACATAGTCCCCCAGGAGCATCAGCGCTGACACGGCACCGCCAACGATGTCTACAGCTGCAGCCGAGTCTACGCTCGCCGATACTGTCCGCATCACGGCGAGCAGGCGCGGGTCCAACACGGTTCCCGAGGCGGGCACAGGCTGCACTCGCGTGGACACGACAGCCAGATCAGCTGCAGCCATCGCGCAGCGCTGGAGCGGATCGTGAGGCATCTTGCACGGGCTCACTGAGCTCCGTAGAACGGAGTGTGAGTCCGTCAGCATCTCCACAGCATACCCCATCGCCCTCTGCGCGTGCCAGAGCCGACGAAGCGTGGCGATTGGGATCGCAGTCTCCGCCAGCCGCTCCCTCCCCCGCAGGCGCTCCAGCTGCGCCCTCTGCGGCATCCGCAGCCCACCCGAGCGACGACGCCCCTGGTCCCCAGGAGGCGAGTCCTCTCCCGTGGACTCCGCTCCCCCCATCTCCGCTGCTTCTGCCCCCCCCTCAACTCCAGTCGGTGACGCCAGCGAACGGCGGGGGGGGACAAAGGGCGCTGTCGCCCGCTCGCCGAACGATGCCGGTGCCACCAACGGCGGTGGGCCACGGGACCATCCTGCCACCGACACATCCGGGGGCGTCGGCTGCCAGGGCGGCAGTATCTCCGCGGACCGCACGTCCATCCGACGCGGATCGAAGGGACCGGCCGAGGGGAGGACTGGCGGAGGGGGTGCGGAGGGAAGGGACGCCAAGAGGTGCTGGCTGTCAAGGAGCGGGAGAGATGTCACACTGCGGGGAGGGAATGGCGGCGTCGGTGCCTGAGGAAGGGGCAAACGCACGGGCGGCAAGTGCGCTTGCTGGTATTGCTGGGGCGCCAGAAGCTGCGGAGAATACGCCAGAGCCTGCTGGGGTTGGGCGACACTGCGGAACAAGCCCTCGAGAGTCGCCGCGGCCCGCCCTAGGCGCCTCTCCGCCGCGGACCCACGGTTACTCCCCCCGCCAGCCCTCCAGCCGACGCGCTGGCCCGATCGCCCGCGCGGCGCCTGCGGAGTCCGGCGCTGCTGCCCAGGCCCCGCCTGTGGGCGGCGCTGAGGCGTTCCTCGGCGGGCGGGATGCTGCTGGCGTGGTGACTGCTGCACCTCGCCACGCGCCACTGGTTCACGTCCAATCTCCACGGCGCGCTCGGGGGATTTCTCCTCGTGTCTCGGGGGCGCGGCAGTCCTGCCCCGCGACTGCCCCCGCATCCGCTCGGGAGTCTGTCGGCGAGCCGTCGAGGGGCCGAGGAGCCCGCGCTCCCAATCCCGGCTCGACGGCGCTGGAGGACTCGCCCGACCTTGGGGCGACTTGCTGTCCCCGGTACTCTCCAAATCGGCAGAACGCTCCCGCGCTGGTCGCTCCATCCCGGGGAGGCGCGCCGCACTCGGCACCCCCCACGACTCGGCACGAAAGCCGAACGACGACCAGGGCCGCCCCGAGAGGAAACCACGGAGGCGGACGCGGAAGACTCAACGCACGGACGGCCGGAGGGCGCGGTCGCGGGGCGGCAAGGCGTGGCAATCTGTCCTCCGATGGAGGACCACTGAACGGATTCCAGCAGGCGGCGAACAGGGCTTTAAGTGCCTCGGAACTGCAACGAACGACTGATGAGGAGGAACGGGCGGACGGAACCTATATACCAGGGAACCAGGGAGACCCCACGACTGAGACCTCCAGTGAGGCGGAACACGTCGAAGCAAACAGGCGCGCTGGAGGACGAGAGACTGACCCATCTCCAAGATCTAGGGGACGAGGGTCCAGCCGTTTGCACAATACTCGGGCACCGCTGGACACCCACCCCCAGGCAGCCCAGCAGTTGTCCCCGGAAGAACTGGCGAATGACCCCTCCAGATTCGCCGTCATCGCCACGTGGGACGTCGCAGTTCTCTGCGACAGTCGCCAACCCCCTCTCTCCCGCCGGTTACCCCCCCAAATCCGTCAACTTTTCGCGCTCACCCTCCTGACACCCCTCCTTTTCCTCGCCAAACATCCAACCTCCATCGAGGGTTGGACCCTGTTACTTTACCTCCCGCGCCTCACACTTCGCCTACCCTCGCCTCGACGCCCTGACTGGCCCGCGACGGAACGACGACTTCGACAATTTCTCGCGGGCCAGTGGGACACACTGTACCAAGCTGCTGCCTCGGCTGTCACCCTGCCACCCCCTCCCCGCCACGTACCTGACACTCTCGGGAAAATATCCCGCGCCGAGGGCTTGGTACGACGAGGCAGTTTGCGACGGGCACTGCTCGCGTTGACTTCGACCCCAGTCAGCAAGTCCACCCCCACGGTCCTGGACGCGCTGAAGTCAAAACACCCCCCTCCGCTTGTCGAAAGCCTCACCTGGCCACGGCTTGACGAAAACTGCAGGCCGCCGACAGTCGATTTCGCTACGTTCGCGAAGCTCCTCGCCCGCTCCGAAAATGGAGTTGGGGCAGGCCCCTCGGGGATGACCTTCGAGCACCTTCGCGACGCCTCGCTGTCCAACCCCGCCGTCGCCACAAACCTCCACAAGCTCGTCCAGCGGTTACTGGCGGGTAACCTGCCGCACGAGGTCAGCCAGCTCGTTACCTCCTCACGCCTCCTGGCCCTTACCAAGCCAGATGGGGGTACCCGCCCCATCGCAATAGGGGAGTGTCTCCATCGACTGGCGGCAAAAGCCGCGCTAATCTCCTCTACGCAATCCGCGCAAGACTACTTCCTACCACACCAATACGGAGTAGCCATCAGGAGCGGCGGGGAAACAATCATCCACGCCACCAGGGGTTTCACCTCTGCGCGCCCGGGCTCACTCATCCTACAAGTCGACCTCTCGAACGCCTTTAATAGCGTTGACCGTGGGGCAATCATCCACGCAATCAACACCTCGCCCCTCCGCCCGCTCCTTCCATTTATCCAATTCTCGTATGGCGCGCCGTCTCTGCTCTATCTCGACGCTGAGTTTGATAGCCCGCCCCTACTCAGCGCACGGGGAGTTCGCCAAGGGGATCCCATGGGCCCCCTCCTCTTCGCAGCAGCCATCCACCCAGCCCTCCAGGCAACCGCCGCGGCCCACCCCGAGGTCCTTTGCCTCGCATACGCTGACGACGTCACTTTCGTCGGCAACCCGGACGCCTGCACCTCGGCATTCCTCACCTTCACAGCCGCCATGGACCGCATCGGTCTCTCCCACAACCCCGCGAAATGCGCAGCATGGTCAGCCGAGCGCCCTGCACCCGACCGCCTTCCCCCAGACATACCTTTCAACACTGAAGGCGTCCGCGTGCTTGGCAGCTTTATAGGCACAACCGAGGGCACAGCCGCATTCCTCCGCACCCAGCTAGCCCTGCTAGCCGAACCCCTCGCCACACTGGCCACAATGGACCCTCAGTCCTCATCCCTCCTCCTCACACGCTGCGTGTCCCGGCGTGTCTCATACTTAACCCGCACCACCCCCCTTGACTTCCTACCCTTGGAAGTCTGGTCCGACTGGGGTAGGGAGCTCTTCCATACCCTCCTGCGTGCCTGCAACCTCCAACCGCCTCGAGGGGAGGTGGAGCAGGCGCGCACTTGGGCTCAAGCGTCCCTCCCTCCCTCCCTTGGAGGACTGGGTCTAACCGACCCCGCAATTGAGGGACACCCAGCCTACCTCACCAGCCTCACCCAAGCCCAGGGCCTCTTGGCTGCCCTCCCAGCAGCGTCAGGAGGGCCCCTGGCTGACGCTGTCCGGCACCTCACGCCACCTTTCACCAGCCCCACCCACTTGCATACCTGGCTGGCGAAGTGTGAAACGGCGATGCCCCCACGAGCCCGGGAGCTCCTGCACTCCGAGAGGAGGGAACCCTCCGGCTCCCCACTCCAACACCGCTTCTCCCTCGAAGTCCAGGCCGTGCGATACGCCGGCCAGGTGGCAGCCACGCGGACAATGGACCCAAACCCACTCTCTGGGCACACCCAACGCCTCTTTTCCCTGGCTGGATATGGAGCAGGGGACTGGCTTCATGCCATCCCCATCTTCCCATCCCTCCGCCTCGAAGCTCCACACTTCGCCATTGCCCTGGCCTTCCGCCTCGGCCTTCCATTCCCAGCCCCCCGCACTTGCAACTGCGCCGAGGAATTTGAAATCCTCGACACTAGGCTGCCCAACCACCTGCTCCGGTGTGGCACCGGGCACGGTCGGACCGACACCCATAATGCCCTGCGGGACGAGAGCATACGGATGGCCCGGGACGCTGACTTTATAGTCACCAAGGAGACCACCATCTACAGCCCCGTAGACGGCCACAAGGCCGACCTCGCCCTCCGAGACCGCAGTTCCGGAGCCGTCTGGATCTGTGACGTCACTGTCACAGATCCCATCAGCAGCCGGGACCCGGATGCAAGAAAAGGACGCGGATACATGGCCCGGGAGCAAGCTGACAAGAAAATCTCCCATTACCGGAATCGGGCTCCGTATGTCGGATTTTTCCCACTTGCAGTCGAGACATACGGCTGCCCATGCGCCGAGGTCCCTACCTTCTTGAAGCTACTGGCTGACACAGGGGCCAGGAGACTTTTCAATGCGGACCCCAGCTCCTACCAGGCCGCAAAATTGCTCCACCAGTTTCGCCAACGCTGGTCAGTGACGCTGCAGCGGGCACAGGCCCTGGCTTACCTGGGGAAAGTTAATGAAGCCTCCCCTGCCCCCCACACCCCAGTGGGTACCCCTGACGCCGACATGGCACCCGGGGACTGCTTTGCCATAGCAGAGCCCCTAGGGGAGCTCGTGTAGTTTCGAGCCCCCCAAACATGCACGTACCTTGCCCTGCTGCCCCTTGCCTGCCTTGCCTAGCCTGTACCCAGTTTTCCAAGCAATAAACGGACCGCTTGAGAGAGAGAGAGAGAGAGAGAGAGAGAGAGAGGCTCACAGGGTGCGTAGTCTGTCAAGGTGTTGCAGGGAGGCAGGTATGCGCCCTGACAGGTTATTGTGGCTCAGGTCACTGCTTGCACGCACGCACACACACATGAGCGCGCCCCCCACACACACACACACACGCACACGCACACGCGCGCGCGCGCGCGCGCACACACACACACACGCGCGCGCGCGGTGTGTAAAGAATATGTTATGTGGGTTTTGAGGCCAGGATGCAGTATGCGCATTGGTGAAAGGCATGCGGTGTGGCATGTGGTGTGGCATGCGTTGTGGCATGCGGTGCAGCTCTCCAACAGCAATGAGCTTGACGGATAAATGGATGGATGAAGGGATGGATGGATGGAAAGGGAGGCGTATGTGATTCGCACAGGGTGTCGAGGAGTGTGAGCGAGCCAAGAACGGGAGGGATGGCGCCTGTCAGACCATTGCTCGTCAGAGACCTGCACACATAGAAATCAGCTCCCACCCCTCGAATCCCCCAGCCCCCCCCAGCCCCCCCGCCCCCCACCCGCAGAAGTCGCAAATAAACACATACGGAGCAGAAGCAGAGTGGACGATAGAGGATCAATCGAGCACACAAGTGGGCATGGGCATGTGTGCATGGGCATGTGCGCAGTGCGCTGTGTGCATGCATGGGCATGTGGGCATGGGCATGTACGCATGGGTGCCGGCATAAATTGTAGCTTTCGGACAAAAATAATGCAGGGCGTAGGGCAGATATGGCATGGGAGAGGAATGGCGTGGCAGGCATGATGGCAGTCCCGGGCACACGAGGTGAGCTGAGAGTGACCTCACAGGTATGTGAGCTGAGTGAGGTTGCCGATGGTCACAGGTATGGAGCCCAACGAGCCACCATGTTGCAGTGCCACCCTCCTGCCAGGGAAGCACACGCATTGGGTCATGCCGCATGGCACGACATGGCACAGCATGGCACAGCATGGCACGGCATGGCATGGCATAGCACACACAGCATGGCACGGGATGGCACAGCATGGCACGGGATGGCACAGCATGGCACGGGATGGCACAGCATGGCACAACATGGCACACACAGCATGGCACGGCATGGCATGGCACGGCACGGCACGGCATGGCACGGCATGGCACGGCATGGCACGGCATGGCACGGCACGGCACGGCACGGCACGGCACGGCACAGCATGGCACAGCATGGCACGGCATGGCACGGCATGTCCCGGCATGGCACGGCATGGCACGGCATGGCACGGCATGGCACGGCATAGCACGGGGCACAGAGGGGATGGTAGGGAGGTAGAGGGCAGATACTGGACGGGAGGAGAAGAGTAGAGCGAGGAGCAGGGAATGACGGGGTAGAGTGAAAAAAGAGGCGGGAGAGCGGGGGTGGGAGCAGCTGAGAAGGGAGCAGCCGTGATAGCCGCAATGGTATGGTATGGCATGGCATGGTATGGCATGGTATGGTGGCATGGCATGTGTGGATGCATTGGGCCTCACAAAGAGGTGATCATGCCATCGCGATCGCACGTGAGCCCATGCGCCTCTGCGCACTCGTCTTCCCGCCTCCACCCCTCGAGCGTCGTGCCCCACTGCCGCTCACACTCCGCCAACACTCTCTCTGCACACACACACACACACACACACACACACACACACACACACACACACACACTCCCGAGCACATTCAGTCACACATCCAATCACACAATCAGTCGCATATACGAAGCAAGTTAGGCTGCACCAATTCAATTCACAGTGCTATTCGGAACTCCGCCGTCAGACTGATCACTTCGGCCCACCAACCATCCATCTGCTCTGCTTCACCATCTCATATGTGAAACCCGTCTGATTAGGACGGCCTCGGGAGGCGGTTTCCGTCAAAATGAACCTGGCCAGCTTTTGCCAGCTTTTGCCAGCTTTTGCCAGCGTTTGCCGTGTGGCAGAGGCATTCCCACTCGAGTAAAGCAGGCGACGAGCGAGTGCTGGCGGTGCTCGCACGCGGATCCCTGGGGTGTGATGCGAGGAGGGAAGTTTGGCAGGATGATGGCTGGAGGGGATCCCTAGGGTGTGACGGCTGGACGGGATCCCTAGGGTGTGACGGCTAGAGGGGAACCCTAGACGGCTAGAGGGGAACCCTAGACGGCTAGAGGGGATCCCTAGGGTGTGACGGCTAGAGGGGATCCCTAGACGGCTAGACGGCTACACGGCTGCTCTCCGGTTGCGGCTATCACGGCTGCTCTCTGGTTGCGGCTGTCACGGTACCCTCTAGCCCTACACCCACTGCGGATCTACTCTCACCTTGCGATGGTGCTATGGCCTGCGCGTTAACGCCGCTGCCGCCGCCGGTGCCGGCGGGCAGGCGAGACGGCATGGCCCCTGCGAGCATGATGGCGCCCAGCAGAATCGGAACGCGACGCCAGCGAGGGACGCGCAGCGGCTTCCTGGGGGGACGCGAAAGGCATGCTAAGGGTAGCAGCAGCAGCAGTGGTAGATGGAAGCGCGAGAGTGGGAGAGGTTGCCGCGACCGACTTTGGAGAGGATGATAATTAGGGTGGTAATATTGCTGAAAATGATGATGGTAATGATGGCGATGGCGTCGTAATGATGACCGCGAGCGGCATTCCATGAGGAGGATAGGACGCGAGGGTCGTACTAACTGGGTAGTCTAACCGCTCGTTAGAAAGACGAGCCCTTACTGACAATCTGTTCTTGTAACGAGAGGACGATGAAGCCTTACTACTAAGGGTGTGTGGCAAGTAGCTTCAAAACGACGGGGCCGATGGGACGGGAGCGGAGGGGTGGAAACCCGTCGCACAGCGGTGTTCGCACGCGCTTCGTAAAACTCCGTGTGGCAAGTGATCACTGCAGAAGCAAAGCATGGGAGAGGAGCGAAATTTCTGGGCAAAATAGGAACAGCCTGGTCACAAAAAAAGAGCCTGACTGGCTGCCCTATGCGAGCTGGCGAAGAAGCCTCCCAGGAGCAATCGACATTCCAAACCGATAGGGCAACACGCAACACAGCCAATCACAGGGGTTTGTGCTGTGGCGATTGTGGTTGGGTTCGCGAATTTTGCGATGGTCGCAACTTCGCAGTTTGCCAATCTGCAGTTTTGTCAGGGTCGCATGTTGGGTTAATTTCGTTCCGGGCAGCGAATACACTCCTGTCCGTGTGGCAAGTGGCCTCAGTAGCATCAAAACGAACGGAGCTCCCGTTCCATGTTTCGGGAGTTCGGGAGCGGAACGACGGGAGGAGCGGAGCGGAAACAATCGGAATTCTACTTGCCACACGCCCTAAGACTAGTGGCTGTAAAGCGTGACCTGCTTCGTGTCTGCTGCTGACAGTTGGGGACCATGCGGGCCGAAACGGTGACATCGCAGAAGAATGACCTAAAAATGTTAGGCTTCCCATAAATACACGAGTCCCATTTGGGGGAAGCCGTGCGACGCTCCGTGCCTAGCTAGACAGTCTAGACTAGACGCAGATGAGGCAAAAGCTACGTGGCCACGGGCAACGAGACACTATCTGGAGGTTCCAGTCAATTGGGACTACAGTGATGCATGAAACTGTATACGAGTCGCGAAGTCGCGCGAAGCTCGTTGAAATCGCGATAACTGATGCACAGTGCTCGCCAGCTGACGAAACAGTGTGTCGCAGACTGAACAAGACGTCGCGAAACAAAAAGTCGCGAATTGTGGTCACCCGCCTAAAGGGCTTGCCACTGATTGGTAAACAACCTCCCTATAACCAATCTGAGGCCCTGGTCATAAGTGTTGTGTATTCCCCCCTATTAGAAAAATGGCTCAAATACCGTATTCCCCTGTATACAACACCCTGCAAAATTTAACTCCCATGGGTAGTTTGAGCGGACATGGGTGCTTTATTAAAGTGGATATTGATAACACCCGCCTTCGGCAATTGCAAACATTTGAACACCCCTCTGCTTTATAAAATGTTATTTTTTAGTTATAAACAGAGCAACGAACATCAGACGTTAGATATCCTACGAATCCCATACAGCGCTGCCTACAGAACCAACTCCTATTGCAGATTCTCATACTGCATGATCAGGTTCTACTGATGCTAGTTCAGATTCTTCTACACCTTCTCCTACACACGTTGCGCAACGGCACATTCTCCTACTGCATCCCCCGCTAAAGCGTCTCGAGCAACTCGTGTTGCTTCCTCTCCCATCTTGTGGCTAGTCGTCGGCTTCAGCATCTGCAGCATCACCATCACAGTCTTCAACATTAGCATCCTCCTCATCAAGATCCACAGCATGCTAGATCTCCACATCCTCTTCATTCGCGACCTCATCCCACCAGCGGTCGTCATCATCCTCCCTAGCAATCCCCTATGCCGGCCACTCCCAAACAGGATCATCCAGCGGGCCCTCCCCCTCACATGCCAGCTCTTCAAGTTGGGCGTCAGCGGCGTTATCGTCCTCATCGAAGTCGGGGGCGTCCACGGGGGGCTCAACAAAGCAATCGTTGTACAGGGGGTTGACGTACTCATCCTCCCCCTCCTCCCCGTGCATGTCGTCCATGATCTCCACCTCTGCCTTGGTGCGGAGGTGGCTTAGGACGAGCCGATCTTCGGAGCCACTGAGGTCGTTGGCAATACCGCAGGTCCTGAAGCTCTTGCGCATGAGCTCCTCGGGGACTGCATCCTATGAGCGAGCAATCCACTTGAGGATCAGCTCCGGTGGGAGCTTCTTCAGATTTCCTGGAAGACACGGGACACATATGCTTTCGTTAGTCTTGTCGTGACACTTGCGTTACGCCCAGTAAGAAAGGGACCAGAGACAGTGCTGAAGGAATAGTGGACCGTACCTTGCTTGGTCTTGAGATTGATGCCGAATCTCTCAAACCATCCGCCTTAATCACTTCGAACGCCTGCCTTGAAGCACTTGTTGACCGAGACGTCAAGGGGCTGCACTAGCGGCGTGCAGCCTCCCGGGATAACGACGCGGGTAAACTTGAAAAGGCGCATCGTCTCTCTCATCGCCTCCGTCAGGTGACCCTTGTAGGAGTCTAGGACGACGAGTGTGTCCTTCCTCCTCCCATTCGCTTCGCGCAATGGTTTCGTGAATGGGTTCAGGGTTTGGGTGACCCAGTCCTGAACATGCTTCCTGTCCATCCAGCCCTTGTTTTGGGCGCGGTTGATTACTCCTGCATCAGAAAACAGTTTAACGTATGTTAGAACTCAGATTACCGAGGCCACCAGAATCGATATCAGCTTTGAGAAGGGGGATATCTTACCAGCCGGGACTTGAAGAAACAATCTTCCTTTGAAGATGACGTATAGCGTGAGCTTCTTCCCCGATGCCGTCACCGCCAGCATCACAGTGATCTTTCCTTCTCATAGCTCGCGGTCCTCACGTGAACCGTGCGCGCCCCTTGTGGTCCAAGGTCCTCTCGTGTGGCATCTCGATGAAGAGTGATGTCTGGTCCGCGTTCACAAATAGTTCGTCGCTGTACTTCTTCTGGATGCGCATCTGCTTGACGAATTCCCAAAACTTTTCAATCTTCACCCTCATATCTGCATTCATAAACACAAGGACACGAGCATGAATTAGATTGTAGGCCTAGGCAATGTCTAAACAGGCAAGGAAGCTTGAATAAATAGCATCCACCAGCCAAACTTACTATCAAGCTAATTTCTGACCCATCTTCGTTTTAATACGGCGCACTAGACCCCATCGGGCGCGAAACCGGAAGGTCCACCGATTGGACCTGCATCCGTCCACGCCAGGATGGTGCACTCGCATATAGGTGCGACTCCACTTCTGCAGCTGCGAGACCGAGACTGCGAGCCGCTTGGACCGATGCCTCAAGAACCGTCGATAGAGAACCGATTCTTTCCTGGGTACTTAGCCGGTCGACCGCCACCGACAAGCCTCAACCAGCCTCAACTCTCAGTCGCTCCCGGGCCTTCTTCCATTCTCGAATGTTAACGAGCTGAACACCTGCAAGCTTCGCGAGGGCACGAATAGTTAGGTCAGGCTGTGCGTCAAACATCGCGAGTCAATACAGCTTCTCAATAGCGGAATAGGAGCGACATGCTCGTTTTGTCATTCAGGTGTGGGGGGACGATGGATTCACATCGTGGTTGATGGTCGGTCCTCTTGGCCTGGCAACGGTTGACGGGAATGAGGCGAAAGTAACACGAAGGAGCGAACGGCGCTCCTGGCTGGCACCACTAGCCCCCCGTCAGCAGTTGTGGCCTTGTTGCTAGTTGTGCGGAGCGAGCTCCTAGGCGGAGATGAACTAGACGATCGCGGGACAGGACGATTGAAATATTTCTGCCGGCCATAAGGGCCGCGTTGGGCAAGAAGGCGACTAAGACCAGAGCCCGTAGTCATGGAGCCGGTAGGCTAGGAGGATAAGGGCAGAGAGCCTAAGATGCCTTCGACAGTCCATACTGGAGGAGTTTTGAGAGCATCCTGATCTCGGATGCAGGAATGAGGAGACGAAGTAGGCTATACCCCTCGTGAAACAACGAGGGTGGAGAGGAGAGGGACTTGAGCGCCTCCCTTGTCATGCCACACACGACACCCCCGTCAGGACCATCCAGCGCTCACGTGCTGGAAGCATCTTGAAGACTCCGTCTAGATGCCCCATGGTACCCTGCCAGATTCATCGACTCCAGCATGTTGGCATCGAGACGAGGTGCACTGGCACACATCAGACAGGTAGCTGAGGAATCGGCGCAAACAGAAGACCCTGATTGGCTGCTAAACTCACCCTTGGGTGACACATGATCCCACTTGGCATGCCCCCGAGCCTTATCATCTCGTATGCGGTCAGAAGTCAGTTCAGCAGGTTTCCAAGGTCTGGATTAAGAACCCCTGTTTATCTCCACATTGAATCCCTTAAACTATAAAATGCATGTTGCACAACACCCAGGCGTTATGCGATTTTAGCCACTAATTACACCCATCTAAAAAATTTGAGGCATTTTGGTTACCACCCTAGGGTGCTTTATACGGGGGCAGGGCCTCAGATTGCAGGCTTTTTATCCTGATTCAGGGTAAAATCAGGGTTTTTTTCGGGGGTGACCCTGATGAGACACAACTTTTTTTTTAACACAGGACTGAAATTTCAGCGTTTTTTAAGAAGTGAATGTCGTGCTTCTCCCTTCTCTCCCCTTTACTCCACCTATCCTTCCTCATTGCCTTTCTTCTCCCCTTTATATCCCTTCCGCCTCTGGTAGGTTATTATTGGGGCTGTGGGACCGAGCTCTCCTGTTACAAGCCGCATGCTGCCTGCTTGGATCTACTTGAGATCGAATTCCCGCACTGCTAGACTCCAGTAAGATTAGAGCAAATTACAGTATAGAAGGAAAACATACAAGCGAAAAGCGATAGTCCTACTGAGTTGCCTCCTATTTATACGTCCAAGTCTCTCTCCTTCCTCTCCCTCCTCCTTGTTATCCCCTTGAGAACTGAGATTGCCCTCGGCCCAGCTTCTCGTCAGATTAGTCCCTTGCTGACGCACTTCCCCTTGTTCCTGCTCACGCCTCGATACTCCGGCATTCCAATTTCTCCACCCTTGATTCGCTCATTACCGAGCTACTACAGTACTCTACTGTACCTCTCTTTGTCCAGCCTATAATTTTCTTGTATATCCAATCCCTGCTTCCAATTCTTCTCTTTCCTCCACTCACCACTTCCTTTGCTGCTGTGTTAACCGTGGGAAGGCTCATGTCTTTCCGCAGGTAATGCGACAGCTATCGTGCTTCTCCCTTCTCTCCCCTTTACTCCACCTATCCTTCCTCATTGCCTTTCTTCTCCCCTTTATGTCCCTTCTGCCTCTGGTAGGTTATTACTGGGGCTGTGGGACCGAGCTCTCCTGCCCCCTCCCTGGTCGAATCGGACTCCTTGTTCGTTTCCGCTCTGGGACTCTTCTGCTTGGTCCGCATCTCTCCGGCTACTGCTACATTTGTCACATGCTCTCTCCTCGTCTCCCCCTTCTCATTCTCTAGCACTAACACTCCCGATGAGCGCATTTCCTTGACGCGCCACCTCTCACTTCCTACTGGTAGCTCCAATGTATTTTTCCGCGCCTTTCTCAGATATACCTCTCTTCCCACGGTCACGTTACTGGATGTCCCTCCTGTCACTCGTTCTCGGCGTTGCTGGTATCTGCGTGCATCTCTCAGCTGCGCGGTATGCAGATTCTCCAGCGCTGCTGGCATCAGCTCCTTCAAGTACTCCCCTCTTCGCATAGCTGCTGCTGCCCATGCTTCCGCCGACTCTTCGTTCATTGGCTCGGTAAGTAGCTTAGGCACATCCACGGGCAGCACTAGCTCTCTGCCATACAGCAAGTGGTATGGAGACATGTCCTTCAGGGCTGATCGCTTTGCGAACCGATAGCCCGCCAGCACCCATGGCAGCTCTGTATCCCACTCTCTCTTCTTCTGTTCTCTGTACACCCGCAATCCTTTCTTGATCGTGTGTATCATCCGCTCGATCAACCCGTCAGACTGAGGATGGTACCGCGACGTCACTCTGTGAGTGATGCCTGCTTCTTTCAAGAGTTCAGCAAAGCTGCCTTGGAACTCCGTGCCTTGATCTGTCAGCACTTCCCCGCATGCGCCATATCTGGTGAGCACTTGGTCCAGAATTGCCTCCCTTATCAGCCCACTGTTCTTGCTGGCTATGGCTCTTGCCTCCACCCACTTGGTCATGTGCTCTATCATCACCACTATGTACATCTTCTCTCGTCTGGATAACGGTAATTCACCTGCCAGGTCCAAAGACCACCTGAATCCTAAGCCACGTATGGGCAAAGACTGCAGCTCTTCCCTCCCCTTCTCCAGCGCTGCCTTGTTCCGCTCGCATGCCTCGCACCCCTGCACCCACTGCGCCACGTCTCTTCTCATCCCCGTCCACCAGTACGTGGTTTGTAATAGCTGCCTAGTCCTGGCTCCCCCGTAATGCCCCAGCTTCTCGTGCACTTGCTGTACGATACGCTCTCTCTCCTCTGGCCTTGGTACCATTTTCCATCCCTCTGTTGTCCGCAGCTGCATCTGACTCTGAAACCACCGGTAGTGTCCTCCTCGACACCTCGCTCTCGCCGTCACTGCTGCTGCATCCTCCGTCAGCCCTTGCACCCAGTGCAATGTCTCCTTGTCTTGCCAGATGTCCTCTACTCTTTGCTCCTTCGCCTCCTGCGCCAAATCGTACTCTTGCAATCGCATTGCCCATCGGGCATTCCACCCCATCAGCGTCTGATTAGTCATCAGCCATAAGAGCGGCTGGTGGTCTGTTACTAACGTGAATTTGCGCCCTTGCAAGTAGGCCCTGAAGTGGGTTACTCCCCACACTGCTCCCAATCCTTCACCCTCGTATGAACTGTAGTTAGCTTCCGTTGCTGTGCAGCTTCGGCTGGTGTACGCCACCACTCGTTCTTCTCCTTCCAGCTCTTGACACAGTACTGCTCCCATGCCCATGCTGCTCCAATCCGTGTAGATTGTAAATGGAGCGTCTTTCTTTGGCAGCTGCAGCACCGTCCCTGCTTTGATGGCCTCTAACAAGTCCCTTCTCGCCTGCTCTTCCTCTGATCCCCACTTCCATGCTTGCTCTTCTCTCAGAAGCTGATTCAGCCTGTATGCTCTCTTGCTGAAGTTCGGGATGAAGCGCCGGTAGTAGTTCAAGAACCCCAAGAGTGCTCTCAGTGCTCCCTTGTCCTTCGGTGTCCCCAGTTTGTCTAGCACCGCCACCTTGGCCTCCTGAATCCCCATCTTCCCGCCTTGCACCTCAAATCCCAGGTAGGCCACTGTCTTTCTGGCTATCTTGCACTTTTCTGGATGGCAGGTCAGCCCTGCGTCTGCTATAGCATCTAGTGTCGCCTTCAGGTGCTCAGCATGTTCTTCTTCGCTCTTGCTAAAAATCACTACATCGTCAATGTAGCACGCCACTGCTGGCACTGTCTTCAGCACTTGGTCCATGACTCTCTGGAACACGGCTGATGCGTTCCTCAGCCCAAACGGCATCATGTTCCATTCGTACAGGCCGTCAGCTCCATGAAAGGCAGTCTTGCCTTTATCTCCTCCTTTTATTGCTATCTGATTGAATCCCTGCCGCATATCCAAAGTGGAGAATATGACCGCGCCTTCTAGCCTGTCAAAAATCTCCTCTGCAGTTGGCATGCTATATCGATCAGCTCTCGTTACTCGATTGAGCTCTCGGTAGTCGCCGCACATTCTTCTCGCTAGCACCTCTCCTGTAAGGTCGGTCTGCGCTGCTACCACCGTTGTTGCCGCGTAGGGTGAGTTAGAAGGGCGTATCAGTCCCGCCTCTAATCTCTGCATTTGCTTCAGCAGATCTCTTTGTCTCCCGGACTCATCCGTCGTCTCCGCTGGTAGATGGGCTTCACGACGCGCCAGGCTGTCAATATTTTTTCGCCTCGAGCACACATTGGCTATTACTCTCGCGCAACCAATAGGATCTGTGCAATCCTCTTTTGTTTTCGGACAGTTACAAATTTCGGGGCACTGGGAAGTTTCGTTTTTTCGCCAGGTTTTGGGATTTTTTTGCACCCACTCAACAATCAAGAGGGACCCCCCTCTGCCATTTTGCCGTCGGGTTTTAAACAGCGTGTTTTCTGTAGTTGAACCTGTTTATTCAGCGCAGAATTTATACGTAATTTTCGTAACACCCTGATTGATCAGCGTAATTTTGTTTGCGAGGCCTGAAAAAACAGGGAGCTACGAGGGGGGGACCCTGAGCGATCAGCGTGCCCCAAAACGAATCTGAGGCCCTGTACGGGGGAATACGGTAGTGTCCCTTGGCTAGGTGGATATCGGGCTTGCAGATCCACTATTCTAACAGGCTGCGACATGGCGTGCATGCAGCCTCACATACTCCCCATTGCGCTCCATGAGCTGCTCGTGTGTGCCGGCCTGAGAGCACCAACCAAATGGAAACTGCGTGTTAGCAGCAAAACAGCAGGCCTGGACACACGCCCCTGATTCAACAGAGCGCTTTGCATGTTCACATCCTCCTCCCCCCTTCCCTCCTCCCCCCACTCCCCCCCCCCCCCCCCACTTCCTCCCCCTCCCCTGCCCCAGGGGCAGTTTGATACAGTCATCCACTGACCTCAACGATTCTGCCTGCCGCGATGACCACTATTCTATCCGCACTGCGGATTGTGGATAGCCTGGTGATGGCAACAAGAATGTCATAGATGGCGATTGGAGTGGGAAGAGAGTGAAACAAGCAGAGTAAGGAAGAGAGCGCATAGCAGGTGGTGAGGAGCATGGCAGGTGGTGAGGAGCATGTAGCCATGCCAAGGATGTGGTAGTAACGGGAGGAAATATTGACAGCCCGACAGAAGTGACATATTGAGCAGCTCGCCGCAACAAACATACCTGTGAGCAATCACTATGATGGTTCGCCTTCTGCTGCCATGTGCATCGGCATCCCCATGAATGGCCTCGTCCAATGCCCTCTGCACATGCACATGCAATAGTCAATGAGAACACAAGCATATCAATAGATCAACGGAGCAGCAGGAGGAAATGGGAGCTTGCCACACGGGAACCAGGAGTTTCCAACATGGGAAAACAGGATTTGCAACATGGGAGCATGGGAAACGACAGCAGCAGCCTGCCCCCAACGGGAAAAAATTAACACCCCGCCACTTCATCATGTCACATCTCACCCACCTGGACATAGTGCTCGCTCTCTGCATCCAGAGCACTCGTGGGCTCGTCCAGAAACAGCAGAGTGGGGTCGCGCACTAGAGCACGCGCGATTGCGATTCTTTGCTTCTGCCCGCCACTCAGCCGCGCGTTGTCCACCACAGTGTCATAGCCCTGGGGCAGCCCGGAAACAAACTGATGCACATTGGCCAGGGTCGCTGCCCGGCGAATGTCCTCGTGAGAAAGTTCCTCGCTGCTTCCGTATGCAATGTTGGATGCCACGTCTGTGCTGAACAGGCAGGGCTCCTGAAGATGCAGGGGGTGGAGTGAGAGTACAGGGAGTGGTGTGAAGTGGTTAGAAGTGTTAGGATTAAGGACAGAGTCTAGGTGAACTTAGGAGCTAGAATTACTCAAAATATAAATCCGAAATTCTGGACAGAAAAGTCGTCTTCACAAGAAACGACGTCGACAAAACACTAGCCGTTGGAATGTCGCGAAACTTGGATATGTTGTAGCTCTTGATCTCAGCTACCGTTCCCAATTTGAATCACGTTGATTGATGAAGTATTCGCGACGCTATGGCTTTCGACGCACTAGGGGGTAAGCTGTAGGAGGAGAACTTAACTCAATCTCAAGAGTTCAATCAAAGTTCAAGAATCTCACAAGGAATTTGAGGAGCAAGAGAAAGGTTGGGATAGAAAGAGAGGGACGAGAGGGAAGGTCCCAAGAGAGTCCCCAACCAAGGAAACCCCATAAGCACAAAGATTCCCTCCCTATAGGAACCTCAACTTTGACCTTTGTCCCTTCCCAACCAATCCATCCAAGTTGGCCACCCTTGCCAACCTAGCTTGGTTGTTCCCAACCAATTTGCAGCTGTTACAGTAGAGTGACAAATTTCCCAAACCCCCAAAGGTCCCAACTCCATATAGAGTCACCCCACAACTTCACTTTGTAACCGCCGCAATTGTAACGCAAGCTCATGAACTTTGAATCTTCATAGCTTTCGCGTTCTTGCTCCGATTGAAGGGATTCTCGTTGCGTCGGAAAGATCTTCTCAAGATCTATCATCACAAAAAACCTGCTCAAACAAAATAACACAAAACACATTCCCAAACTCCAGAACACATCACACACAAATTCTTGCACACGTTCAAACCACACATGCAAGTTGAAAAAATATGGGATGGGAGGCAGACAGAATGTGATAGCATATGATGACATCACACAACAATCTCCCCCTCTGGCTGCCAACCATCATCCACCATACCAACATCTCAAGCATGCATACTCAATGCACACTCATCCCAGCAAGCTTCATGCCCTTCCAATGATCCGCCTCCGCCAGACGCTTGGTGAAAATATCTGCTGCCTGCTGATGGGTCTTCACTATCTCCAGCCGCACCTCCTTATCAAGGAGTCTCCTCACCCAATGCCACTTAGGCCTTATGTGTTTTGTCAGCCCATGCAGACAAGCATTCTTGGCGAGCTTCACAGCGGACTCATTGTCACAAAACACAACTGTCGGCTTCTCCTGACCAACTCCCAACTCCTCCAACAAACGCCTTAGCCACACTACTTCCTTGGCCCCATGGTGTAAGGCCATGTACTCAGTCTCACATGAGGACAATCCCACCTCATTCTGCTTCTTGCTGCGCCAGCTCACAGCACCACCTCCTAGCAAGCACACATAACCCCCAATGCTGGTGCCATCCGCTTTCACTGAGTTGAAGCTAGCGTCAGTATAGCAACTCAAGAGCATCTCTCCACTCTTCACATCTGCAGCACCTCTCTGCAACCGCTGCCTCACTCCACTGTACTCCAATCCCACTGATGCCGTAGCGCTCACATAGCGGACCAACCTCTTGGCCGCTTCCAGCTGCTCATGACTAGGGCGTGAGACCACACTAGCCAATCGTGATGTAGCAAATGCAATGTCAGGCCGTGTATGATTTGCAGCATAATTCAGCGACCCAACCATCGAATGAAACAGCTTCCTGTCACTATCACCCACTACCTCCTCATCAGCACATGGCTCCACAGTAAACCCTGAAGGTAGTGGTGTTGCTGGCTTTCCCCCATCTTGCAGCCCATACTTCTCAGCCAGCCCCTCACAGTACTTCCTCTGGTGCAACCTCAGCACACCCTTTTCCACATCTCTCTCCACGTGCATCCCCAAGTAGTACTTCACCTCACCCATCTTGGAGCACTTGAACTGCATCTCCAGCATCTGCTCTGCGCTGTCCAGCAAAGCAGTGGATGCAGAAAAGAGAAGGATATCATCCATATACACCAAGAGCATGAGGATTTCATCCTTCTCCTGCAGCAGGAACAGGCTGGGGTCACACTCACTCTTCTTGAAACCCCCAGCCAACAGCGCCTCCTCCAACTTGTGATACCATGCACGAGGCGCCTGCTTAAGGCCATAGATGGCCTTCTTCAGCCTGCAGACCCTGCCGCTCCCGTCATCCAGCCCCTCTGGCTGTTCATGTACACCTCCTCCATAATGATCCCATTCAGAAAGGCAGTCACAATATCCATCTGCCGAATCTTCCATCCCAGGAGTGCAGCTATCGCCAACAGCACCCTCAGTGTTGTTCCTTTCCCCACAGGAGCAAACACCTCATCATAGTCCTTCCCCTTTGTCTGCTGAAACCCCCGTGCCACAAGCCTAGACTTGTAGCGGGTCAGCTCCCCTTCAGGTCCATACTTGTGCCTGTAGATCATCTTGGAAGTGATTGCCTTCTTTCCAGGAGGCAAGTCACACAGGTCCCATGTCTCGTTCTCAATTAGGGACCCGAACTCCTCATCCTCACTCGCCTTCCACTTCTCCCCATTTGGTCCATTCAAGGCCTCTTCTCGAGTCTTGGGCTCAGGGATTGGTGCCCAGTAGCAGTGAGCGATCTCATCTTCCTCAATCTGCTCAACCACACTCCCAGCCTGCACCACATTCGGCTTGCCTCTTCCCCCATAGGTCAGCCTCACTGGAGGGCGCACATCCCTCCTAGGACGCTCAGGCGGGTGTGGAACTCGAGGTGGAGACTCATGCTGCTGCTGCTGCTGCTGCTCTACTTCAGCTGCTCCCCCTTCCTCAGTCACCCCAGACATCTCCTCCTCTGACACTGCAACCTCCACCTGTCTTGAAGGCTGCTGCACCTCATCTGCCTCCACAATGAGCGGTGTAGATGGAAGCTTCTGTTGCTGCTGCTTCCATTCCTTGTAGTACAGGGACTCAAGAAACTTCACATCCCTTGACACTGTCAACTTCTGGGTGGTCAAGTCCCATAGCAGCCACCCCTTGTGATCCTTTGCAATCCCCAAGTGCACACCCCATCTTCCAGAAGCCTCCAACTTCCCCCTTTTCTCCTTAGGCACATGAAACACCACCATGCACCCAAATGCCCTCAGCATGTTCACAGCTGGAGCACTCCCATACCACTTGACGTATGGGATCCACTCCTTATCTCCAACTGTAGCCAGCACCCTGTTCTTCACAAGGGCGACCTGCCTCAGTGCAGACACCCAAAACGGATCAGGCAGCCCTGCACGCCCAAGGAGAGTGCGTGCCCCCTCCTGCAGGGTCCTGTTGAACCTCTCAGCCACGCCATTCTGCTGTGGGTTGTAGGGCACTGTCAGTTGATGCTGGATCCCCTTCCTCTTCAACTCCCCCTCAAAATCAGCTCCAATGAACTCCCCACCATTGTCACTACGGATCACCTTCACCTTGTGTCCGCATTCCCTCTGAGCTCTCGGCATCCACTCCTTAAGGACAGCCGCTGCCACCTCCCCCTTGCTCTTCAAAGGGTAAACCCACACTGCCCGAGTGTGGTCATCCACAATTGTCAAGAAATAGCGGCTGCCTGAGAGGGAAGGGGCTCTTGTGGGCCCCACCACATCCATATGCACAAGTGCAAGTGGGGTCTTGGCTGGTCCTGTAGTGCTGTTGAAGGGGAACTTGGAGAACTTGGTCTCCAAGCATGTAGGGCAGCTCCCAATCTCCTTCACTCCCCCTTTCACCTCCAAGCCCTTCAGGCTCCCATTCTTCACCAACTTCTGCAGCATAGGGAAGTTCACATGACACAACCTCTCATGCCATGTCTCCCAATCGGCCTCTCCACTCCTTGATGAAGCCTTAGCCCATGCCGCACTCGCATCCACACCAGCAAGCACCTCACCATGTGTCTGCTGCTTCTGCACTTTCTTGACTGCTTCCAGCACCCCATCAGTTGGTGCAGTTGCATCTCCTCCTGCTGTTGCCTTTGCCACTGCTGCCGTTGCTGCTGTTGGAGTCTTCCCATTCCAAGGGATGATGGGCAGCTGCCACAGGTCCTTGATGCAGCTGGTCTCCTCTTCCAGACTCCACAGCACCTTCTTCCCAAGCTTAGCACGGCAGCTGGTTGGTCCAAAGGTCACTTCGGCCTTACTCTTCTGCAGCCGCCGCACAGAGAGAAGGTTAGCAGACAAGCCTTTAACCAGCAGAACATTCCCAAGCCCCACAAGCTCCCCATTAGCTCCCTTAACCTTGGCATTCCCAACACCAATCACGGGGAGCAAAGCACCTGACGCTGCTGCCACATACTTAATCTTCCCAGGGGGTTTTACCTCATCAAGCAAATCTGCCCGTGGAGTCATGTGACTGGTGCAACCCGAATCAATCACCCAGTGCGTGAGAGGGTGCATCACAACCTTTCCCACAGATCCCACATCACCCTCATGCCCATGCACATCCTCAACCATAACAAACAAACCAGGATAGGCATTACCTTGTGCACCTTCACCTTGTGCACCTGAGCCTTGCACAGCGCCACCTTGTGCGCGTTCACCACTGGGCGGCTTCATGCCTGGAGGTGCCCATCCCTCCAGCCTGCTGAAGCACTTGAACCAAGGATGCCCACCTTACTTGCAGTACCAGCACGTGCCCTCCATTCTGGTACTCCCCCTGCCACTAGAGCTCCCATGCCCCTCATTATAGTCACCTCGGCCTCTACCTCTGCCAAAGCTCCTCCCACGGCCTCGGCCTTTCCAACCCCCTCTTCCTCTGCTGCGCCCTGCAGCTCCATACCCCTCAGCAGTCTTAGTGGCAGCACCGCCTCCCACATGGCGTCTGCGGAAGTCCTCCTGCAGAATCTGCTGCCTTAGCCACTCAGGTGTCCATTGATCTTGCTGAGAGTTGAGGGTGGGGATGAGGTTGTCCCAAGAGTTGTCCAACACCGAGATGATCTTGGTGCACTGCTGCAGCTGAGATACACTGCTGCCCGCTGCTGCCATCCTTGCATAGGTGTCCTTGATCTTGTCAAGGACCGGCTTCACATCGTCCCCTGGTCGCATGGAGATGGCAGCAAGTTCCTTCTCGAGCACGATCACCATCAGGAGAGTGTTGGGCTGAACCACATCACGTAGTAGTTTCCACGCCCTTGGACCCGAATCATCCGCTTCCACAAGATCCTTGATGTGCTCGAACATCTCCTTGTTGACCGATTGAAGAATGAGGTCGAAAAGCACCGCGCTTTTCTCAATCCACCGTTCACGTGCTTCGCCTTCTTCCGGCATCTTCTCTTCCCCAACAGCAATCTTCAGTAGCTTGTAGCGTTTGAAGGCACTCCTCATCCGTCCGCTCCATTCCTCATAGTTGGAGCCATCCAAAGCTTCAACTTTTGATGGCGGCGGCTCACTTGTCTTCTCAGCTACAGCTCCTCTTCCATTAGCATCTCCTCCTCTCTCATTCATCTTCTCCTTGAGAAATGACGAATTTCAGCTCCCCTTTGCTGTCCACACTCAGCTCCCTCGATATTTTCACAAGTGTCGGCGTCCACGAAATTTCGGCAGAGTTTCCCCTTAGCGGAAGACACATCCAACCTTTAGAACACCACTTAGGCACACCCACAGGCCATGGTGGGTCTAGAAGGGTCTTCACACTTCTGTAGACTCCTCTCAATGTCCTTAATATCGCTCTGATACCACTTGTTAGGATTAAGGACAGAGTCTAGGTGAACTTAGGAGCTAGAATTACTCAAAATATAAATCCGAAATTCTGGACAGAAAAGTCGTCTTCACAAGAAACGACGTCGACAAAACACTAGCCGTTGGAATGTCGCGAAACTTGGATATGTTGTAGCTCTTGATCTCAGCTACCGTTCCCAATTTGAATCACGTTGATTGATGAAGTATTCGCGACGCTATGGCTTTCGACGCACTAGGGGGTAAGCTGTAGGAGGAGAACTTAACTCAATCTCAAGAGTTCAATCAAAGTTCAAGAATCTCACAAGGAATTTGAGGAGCAAGAGAAAGGTTGGGATAGAAAGAGAGGGACGAGAGGGAAGGTCCCAAGAGAGTCCCCAACCAAGGAAACCCCATAAGCACAAAGATTCCCTCCCTATAGGAACCTCAACTTTGACCTTTGTCCCTTCCCAACCAATCCATCCAAGTTGGCCACCCTTGCCAACCTAGCTTGGTTGTTCCCAACCAATTTGCAGCTGTTACAGTAGAGTGACAAATTTCCCAAACCCCCAAAGGTCCCAACTCCATATAGAGTCACCCCACAACTTCACTTTGTAACCGCCGCAATTGTAACGCAAGCTCATGAACTTTGAATCTTCATAGCTTTCGCGTTCTTGCTCCGATTGAAGGGATTCTCGTTGCGTCGGAAAGATCTTCTCAAGATCTATCATCACAAAAAACCTGCTCAAACAAAATAACACAAAACACATTCCCAAACTCCAGAACACATCACACACAAATTCTTGCACACGTTCAAACCACACATGCAAGTTGAAAAAATATGGGATGGGAGGCAGACAGAATGTGATAGCATATGATGACATCACACAACAAGAAGTGGTGTAGAGTGGTGTGGAGAGTGGTGCGGGTGGTGTGGTAGAGTGGTGTGGAGGGTACATGTGTCAGTGCACAGGTGTGGATGGTCCACATGCACATGGCCTGTACATGGAGTGTGTGCTGTGTGGTGGGCAGAGAGAGTATGCTAGATAACGGCTTCCTTCCAGCTGCTTGACCATGGAATAGAGATGGGCAGTCGAAGCGCGTAATTCCTAGCCTCATTTACTCACCTTCGAAAACCCGAGCAACGAGGCGGACTGCCTAAAAAAATACTCGACCTGAGGTGAGGCGAGTAAACTCGTTGAGTACTTGACGCCTGCAGAGGGCGAGTACAAAAATGCTCGCAAGTAATAGTTCAAGTCGAGCAATTTGTTTACTCGCATCAAATTTGTCCCAGCGCGCCTCATTTACGTGTTTTTTTATTTGCGATATGCTCTTATTCCGTGGCCGTGGTTGCGGTTTCAGGCATCTCCAACATGCCTGTACTTTTATAGCGCAGAAAAATGTCACGCTTATTCATAAAGGGATGGAATAAATGCATCCCGAGGCAAGTAATACTCTCCCCGGATGGGTAATTTTCACTCGCTCCGAGTAATAGGATTAGATGCCCTAAAAACGAGTAAACGAGGGGCACTGGGGAAATTACACACCTCGAGTAATGCTGGCCTTGCCTAATGCCCATGTCTACTGTGGAATGGGATCAAGTGCAGGGGAGAGGGGTCTCTTTGAGCTTTCTCAACGCGGCCCTGCGGCTCGAGGAAGAGGGCGAGGGAGGGGAGGCGAGGTCACCTGGCTGACCACGCCGATGTGCCTTCGGAGCCACGCAATGTCCATCTCTGGTAGAGGCACGCCGTCTATAAGCACCTGCAAACAAGTGGACATCAGGAGTTGCGCAGAATTAAAAAAAAAGATATATATTGAATCCACCTACTACAGGCACCCGGACCATAAACCTTGAACCCCCAGCTCGTACAGTCATTGCAACAGCCCCACCAGAGTGGTTCTGAAGCGGAAACTCTGAACCTGAAATCCCAAATGTGCAACCCTGGCCCCTACCGCCCGTCTCACCTGCCCGTCTCACCTGCCCCTCTCACCTGCCCGTCTCACCTGCCCGTCTCACCTGCCCCTCTCACCTGCCCGTCTCACCTGCCCCACTCACCTGCCCGTCTCACCTGCCCCTCTCACCTGCCCCTCTGTGGGGTCGTATAATCGCTGCAGCAGCGCCAGCAGCGTGCTCTTGCCACTGCCATTGCGCCCCACCAGCGCCACGCGCTCGCCTGGATGGATGGTCAGGTTGAACCCATCCAAGACAGGTGACTGCAGGAGGGTGGTGGAATCTCAGTTTTCTGAGGAGCCTCAAACACAGGCCGTTGCGCCCCACCAGCGCCAGCAGCTCGCCTGGATGGACGGTTGTGATCCAAGACGGGTGATTGCAGGGGGGTGCGGGGGAGGGGAGGGAGATACGTGAGAGGGGAGGGAGGTACGTGGTTGGAGTGGTTGGAGTGGTTGGAGTGGTCGGAGTGGTTGGAGCCCCCGAGCACCAAGACCACAATATTGGAACCACGCAAGTGGCTCCCATGGTGGTTGGGTACTGTTCCTACCCAACTGCATGTGGTACTGATTATCTTTCTCTTGTTAGCTTCCCTTCCTTCCCAACTTTCCTATGTATGCTCCTGATTCTACTACTCGAATAACTTCAATTCTTTCATGGTATCAGAGCTCTAAGCCTCACACAACATCCCGTTTTTTTTTCCGATCCTTGCCCTCCATTCCTCAGCTGTAGTCACGACCCCCAGCGAGGGATTCCCGCTTCCGTCGTCCTGCTCTCCCTCCTAGCCGGCAAACTCGCCGCCCCTTCCTACTCGTCAATCTTCCCGCTCCCTGCTCGCCGCTCGCGACCAGCCGCCGGCTCGTCGCTCGCCGCAGCCTGCGCGCTGTCCCGCGGGTCCCCGCTCGCCGCTCGCCACACGCCCCGCGCTGCTCGCGGCTCGTCGCCAGCCGCTCGCACGCCGCTCGCCGTTCACGCCCAGCCGCCAGCTCGTCGCTCGCTGCCACCTGCGCGCCGTCCTGCGGCTCCCCGCTCGCCGCTTGCCGCACGCACCGCGCTGCTTGCCGCTTGCTGCTGCTCGCACGCCGTTCGCCTCTCGCGACCAGTCGCCAGCTCGTCGCTCGCCGCTCGCTACCACTTGCGCACCGTCCCGCAGCTTCCTGCTCGCCGCTCGCTGCACGCTCCTCGCCGCTTGCTGCTCGCCGCCAGCCGCTCGCACGCCGTTCGCCGCTCGCGACCAGCCGCCAGCTCGCCACTAGCCGCTCGTCGCTCGCCGTTCGCCGCCAGCCGCCCGCTCGCCGCTTGCCGCTAGCCGCTCGCCGCCAGCCACCAGCTCGCCGCACGCCGCCCGCTGCCAGCCATCAGCTCGCTGCACGCTGCTCACCGCCAGCCTCCAGCCCGCCGCCGCTTCTCCCTCCAGCAGCCGCCGCCACTTCCCCTCCCCCCCCACAGCCTCAGCTGCTCCTCTCCTCCGCAGCAGCCACCGCCGTCGCTGTCACCAGCCGCTGCCGCTGCATCACCAACCGGCTGCCACTGCCGCTTCTCCTCTCCTCAGCAGCTGTCGCGGCCGCCCGTCTCACCCACAGCCGCCGCCGCCACTCGTGCCAACGACTGCCGTCGCTCCAGCCGTCGCTCCTGCCAGCAGCCGCCGCCGCCGCTGCACCTCTGCCGTGCCGCCACCCCCGCTGCAATCCTCCCCTGCAGCCGCCGCCACCGCTCTGTCGCCAGCCGCCGCAGCTGCTCTTCTCTTCGGCAGCCGTCGCCGCTGCTCCATCGAGCCGCCGCTCCCCTTTTGAGCCGCACGGATCAACCCGTCGTTGCTCCTTCCTCGTGCCGCCGCGAGCACGCTCGCCGCTGCCGCGTCTGTGAGCCGCGCCGGTCCACCCGCTGTCGCTCCATTCCATGCCGCCGCCGCCTCCCCGAGCCGCGCGGGTCCAATCGCAGTCGCTCCTCCCTGTGCCGTCGCGCGTTTCCTGCTCGCCGCCGCCGCTTCGTGAGCCGCGCGGGTCCACCCGCTGTCGCTCCTTGCCGTGCCGCCGCGAGTTTCCTTGTTGCAGCTGTCTTCTCGAGCCGCGCGGGTCCACCCGTCGTCACTCCCTCCTCTTGCCACTGCGAGCACGCTCGCTGCCGCCGCTTCCTTGAGCCGCGGAAGTCCACCCGCTGTCGCTCCTTGCCGTGCCGCCGCAAATTCCCTCGTCACAGCCGTCTTCTCAAGCCGCGCGGGTCCACCCGCTGTCGCTTCACACCGTGCTGCCACGAGCCTTCCCGCTGCTGCCGCCTTCCCGAGCCACGCGGGTCCACCCGCAGTCGCTCCTCTCTGTGCCGCCGCGCACGCTCTGCTCGCTGCTGCGCCGCTGCCCAAATTCATGGCGTCCTTCCCTCATCCGTCGACAAGCTCCTGCTGGCCGCAAACAAGTCCGCCACCAACTGGTACTCTTTCGTTGGGAGTTTCCGGCGAGTCCTCGGCGGCGCCTGGGTCCAGCCGTACAAGCTGCTCGACATCCTCGAGCGTAAGGCTCCGGCCCTTCGCCCCACCATGCCCGTCGATCCTAGTCCCGAGCCTGATGTCCCTCGCGACCCTGGTGATCCGCCACAGCGACCCGAGGTCCCTCCCGCGCAGCTGGACAACCCTGAGGCCGAGCGTGTTGCCGAAGAGACCTATGACGATGCCCGCCAGAAGTTCCTGCAGCGGCGCGCCGAATACAAGTTCAAGAAGCTGGCATTCGACCTCGCTTCCGAACATACCGCGGACCATCGCCTGCAAGCCGTCCACTATGCACAGCAGAAGGCGACCTATGCTGTCGCCATCGCTGCATGGTGTGAGGCTGACCTGCGCACCTCTACCACCGTCCTCGGCGCTCTCCCCGTCGACATGATGCGGCGCTTCCAAGCTCGAGAGCTCCCTGCCGCTCAGTTGTGGACTAGGCTCCATGCCATGTTCGAGCGCCGCGACATCGGTTGGCTGGGCATGCTGTTTCGCGAGTACAACAACATCACGCTCGACAGCAGCCATGGCGCTGTCGATTTCACCAGCCGCCTCCTCGACATTGCCTCTTGTCTTGAGGTTCGTCGTGTCGTCCTGCCTCCTCAGCTCCACATGCACAACCTCCTCCACGGCCTCACCCCTCAGTACGACACGCGCATCATCGCGTTCACTGAGAACGACCCCATGCAGACCTCCCCACTGTCGTGCAATGGATCATCGACATCGAGGTCAAGTTTCTCCAGGAGCCCACCGCCACTCTCCACGCTGCCCAGCCTGCCTCCGCCAAACTCAACGACGTCCCCAGCCGCTCCCGTGGTGGCCGCCCTCGTGGTGGCCGTGGAGGTGGCCGTGGTGCCGGAAGTGGCAGTGGGGGAAGCGGTGGGACTGGCCCCAGCAGTGCCGCCTCTAGAGCGGCACCTGGCGGCCATGGAGGCCGTCCTGGCACACTCCCTCCTTGCCAGTACCTTCGTCGCCAGGGGCATAAGGCTGGTGAACGCTGCCTGCAGACCAACCACCCCATCGACACGTGCTTCAAGGCACTCGATGATGCGTGGTTTGATCGCGGCAACACAGGCACCCCGCCCCGCTGATCAAACATCACCCCTCGCCCTATATGAAGGCCCTACCTTCCTTCTTGCCAGCGCACCTCCAACTTGGCGCCTCCTCCATCCCCTCTCCCTCGTCGCAGCAGCTGCTCCAGTTCCAACAGTTCCAGCAGTTCCAGCAGCAGCAGCAGCAGCCGTGGGGTGCCGGCAGCCAGGCGACCGCAGCAGCAACAAGTGCCGCCGCCGCCACTGCCGCCTGGCAGCAGCAGTAGCTCAGTCTCGGCTCCGCCGCCATGGCCACCCATGCCTCCACCGGCCCCCCTGTCTACCCCCTCTGGGGATCCATCCCCTCCGCTCCCCCCAGTGGCCTTGCCACTCCCACTTCCCAGACTAGTTTCTTGGGTCATCTCACCAATGCACCTCCTGCTTTGCCCTCAATGTATCCCTCTGCTTTTAATGCGACCGATTTCCAGTATCCCGTGTCCCTCAGCTCATCCACCTCCTCCCTCTTGCCTCCCACTGTGGACTTTGTCCTTGACAGCGGCGCCACTGAGACGGCCCTAAAAGACGCCGGCACTCTTACCTCTCTCCCCTTCCCCACCAGTGTCCATGGCGTCGATTCGAGTTTCTCCATCCCTTGCACCCACCTTTCCACGCTCCCTTGTCCTCCCTTGTCCTCCCTTCCCCTCTCACACTGTAACTAGCCTCCACATTCCCACCCTCCGACAGAATCTCCTCTCCCTCCGTGAGTTGCAGCATGCCAGCATCACTGCCACTTTTTCTGCATTCGCCACTCACAGCGACCTCTTCCAAGGCGTCTCTAACCGCCTCTTTCATCGTCTTCCTCTCTGTCCCCGTACCTGCCAGTACATCCTCCGCGTTCCGTTTCCCTCCTCTTGCCACGCCACCACTTCGCGCTGGCACTACCATCTCCCCTCCCCTCCCTCCCCCCTCGCCGCCCCTCCCCACCTCCGCTCCTTCTCCCTGCTCCTGCTGTCCTGCTCCACCATCGCCTAGGCCATCCTAATTTTGCTACACTTCGCGCAGCAGTCTCCTATCGCCTCCTCCACGGCCTCCCCCCTTCACTCCCTCCTCTCCCCTCCTCTCCTGCCCCTGCCTGCTCCTCTTGCATCCATGGCAAGCTAAAGCCATTCCCCCATCATAGCCATCCCTCCTTTGCTACCTCCCCCATTGATCTCGTTCACATGGATCTCTAGGGACTCAATCTCTCCTCCTTCCGCCACAGCCACAGGTACATGCTCGTTCTCGTTGATGACCACAGTTGCTACTCCTCAACTTTCCTTCTCCAAACGAAAGCTGAGGCATCCGTTAGCCATCATCCGATTTGTTGAGCAAGCTTGTACCCACTTCGACCGCTCTGTTCGCCGCTTCCACTCTGACGGCAGGGGGGAGTTCCTTAACCATACCCTCTCTTCCTACTGCACCACGCACGGCATCCAGCAGACCCACACTCTCCCCCATTCCCCCAGCAGAATGCTGTTGCCGAGAGTCGCATTCGCGAAATCACAAAGACAGCTCGCTGCCTCCTCACCCAAGCCTCTCCCCCACCCTCCTTCTCGGGCTATGCCCTCATCCATGCTGCTCTCATCTTCAGCACACCTCCTCCACTCCCACAGAGTTATGGGCCTCGTCCAAGCCCGATGCGGCAGTCCTCCACGTCTGGGGATGCACGGCGTTTGTCCTCATCCCCTTCTCTGGCCGCTCGCGCTCGACTGGCAAACTTGCCTCCAAGGCCCTGGAGTGCATTTATCTGGGGCATGCTCGCGACTCCCCCGGCTACCACTTCCTCCACTCTCCCTTAGGCCGTTTCCTCAAGAGTCGCGACGTCACGTTCGATAAGAGTGTCCCATACAACACCTCCCCTCCCCCTGCTAATCCCCTCCCCGCTCCTTCCCGCCCACTCACCTGGGCTGACGCCGTTCTCCCCCCGCTCCTTCCCCAAGCTACCCTCCTCCCTCCTCCCCCTCCCCCATCTCCACCTCTGCCCCCTCCTCCACCCCCTCTATCCTCCGGCGACGTCTACGATCCCGTTGCTCCGGCTTCCCCCGCCCACTCTGTCGCCGATCCTCCCTCCTCCCAGCCGCCGCAGCAGCCGTCACCGCAACAGCAGAACCAGCCGGACCAGCAGCAGCAGCAACAGGATCAAGAGGACCAGCAGCAGCAGCCGGGGGACCAGCAGCAACAGCAGGACCAGCAGCCGCAGCCGCAGCAGCAACAGCAGCAGAACCAGCAGCAGCGGCCGCAGCAGTGCCAGCAGCACCCGCTCCCCCCACCACTTGGTGGAGGCCAGGTCTCTGCTTCGTCTCCTCCGGTGCGCCGCCCCACATCCTCTCCCTTTCTCCTCCCGCATGTTCACACGTGCTCCATGGACCCTATCCTTGGCCTCCCCTTCAACCCCTCCGCTCCCCCACAGGAGGACTCCCACGCGGAGTTCATCGCCATTCAGCAGCATGCTCCACACCTCTCCGCTCTACACGGGCTTCCGTGGCTTCCTGCTACTCGGCGCGTCCTCCTCCCTCCCCATCTACGACGCCACCGACTTTTGGGAAGCCATCACTAGCCCCGATCGTGACAAGTGGATTCCCGCTGTCTTCTGCGAGGTCGAAGTGTTCATTCGCAACAGCTTGTTTGTTCACGTGATTCCTCCTCCCGGCGCTAACATCGTCGAAGGGAAAAGAGTCTTCTGGGTGAAGCAGTTGCCTGGCGAGGAGCCGGTCTACAAGGCCCGCTACTGCGCCAAGGGATTCACCCAGACTTGGAGCGTCGACTAGTGGGACACTTTCTCCCCCACAACCAAACTCCCCACCATTCGGGCCTTCCTCGACTTTGCTGCTCGCATGTCCATGGTCATCTGCTGCATGGACGTCTCTAATGCGTTCCTGCAAGTCCTCATGCGGCGACCCCCGGGATTTCATGCTGCCTTTCCGCCCAACACCGTCTGGGAGCTTCAGCGCCCTGTGTACGGCTTGAAGCAGGCACCTCGCGAGTGGCATGCCAAATTGGCTGCCACCCTTAAGGACATGGGCTTCCGTGCCGCCCACTCCGATGCCAGTCTCTTCCTCCGTGCCGCCCCCAGCCGCTTCTTCATCCTCGTCAGTGGATGACATGATCCTCATAGCCGATGAGGAAGCTGACATAGTGAAGGTCAAGGCCGAGCTTCAGACCCGCCTTTAGTGCAAAGACCTGGGCGCACTGAAGAACTACCTCGGCATGACCATCACACGCGACCTGGAGGCCCGCACCATCACGCTGTCCCAGTCGTTCTATATCGACCAGGTCCTGGAGCGGTTCACCATGACACATGCCAAGCCTGTGTCCATCCCCCTGCCCATTGGTTACCAGCTTGCGCCTTCCTCCTCTCCCTCCGCCTCTGATCACCCTATGCCGAGCTTGTCGAGTCCCTCATGTACGACATGATGTGTACGCGCCCCGACCTCGCATACCCCATCAGTGTCCTCGCCCGGTTCGTTGGTACCGCCCGGCACACTCTAACACACTGGGCCGCTGCCAAGAGAGTCCTCTGCTACCTACGGGGCACCAAGGACTATGTCCTGACCCTTGGCGGCACCTCCCCTCCTCTCCTCACTGGCTTCAGTGACTCCTAGTGGGCCGATTCTCAACCCGACCGCCGCTCCTCCCAGGGCTATGGTTTCACCTTGGGGAGTGGCCTCATCAGCTGGCGTTCCACCCGCTCGTCCACCATCGCCCTCTCCTCGTGCGAGGCCGAGCTCTATGCCGGCACTATGGCCGCTCAGGAATCGCGCTGGCTGTGCTATCTCCTCGCCGAGCTCGGCACTCCCCAGCGCTGTCCAACCCTCTGGTGCGACAATGCCAGCATGATCCACCTCACCAAGGACCCAGTCTTCCATGGGCGGTCCAAGCATATCGAGCTTCGTTATTTCTACATTCGCGAGCTCGTCCAGCAGGGTCACCTTGTTGTGCGCAAGTTTGCCGCTGAAGCAAACTTGGCAAACATTTTCACCCGGGCCTTGCCTAAAGCCGCACACAAGGCCCTCCTTCGTCTCCTTGTCCTTCGCCCTCCTAGCCCCTTCCGTGCTCCATGATTTAGGGGGTGTTCGTCTTCTCCATCCTAGTCCTCTGCATGTTAAGGGGTTGTGTTAGATTACATACAGTATATCTATTGTAACATGCTCGACTAGTATTTTAGCTAGGTGTGCACCAACCAGTGGTGTACACATCAAAGTGCAAGGGGTGTTAATCCAACCCTGGAGTGGTTGGAGCCCCCGAGCACTAAGACCACAATATTGGGACCATGCAAGTGGCTCCCATGGTGGTTGGGTACTGTTCCTACCCAATTGCATGTGGTACTGTTTATCTTTCTCTTGCTAGCTTCCCTTCCTTCCCAACTTTCCTATGTATGCTCCTGATTCTTCTACTCGAATAATCTCTTCAATTCTTTCCCATGAGAGGTGTTTGAGGTGAGGCATCCCATGCTGTCATGCCATGCCGCAATCTCATGGGGCCATCCCATGCTGACATCCCATGCTGTCGTGCTGTGCTGCCATGCCATGCCATCAAGCAGCTTACCATGTGCTCCGCTTCACCTGCATGCTTGGCCATGTGCCATGTTTCCCATGTGGGGTGCATTAGACATAGGCTCGGGCCAGGCCACCCCCTACCCTGGCCAGAGGCCCAGAACGAACGGGCAGCCCTCGGTCCTGTGGCGTTTTGCGGATCAGGGCGTTTGGTTCTTGTGGTCTGTGAGTGATGATGGGACCACATGCCGGTTCAACAGCCTGTAGTACCCATCCAATGCATGATCCAATCCTTCCAGCCGGCTGAAGGGTGGGGGGTTCGGAGGCCCCTGCCCTTCCAACAAGCTAGCCCAGCCCACTGGAGGTGGGACTCCTGCCATACCTCAGGACGGTTGGGGCACCTCAAGAGGGGTGGGCTGAGCAGGAGAGAAACAAGTACCTGAGGGCGGGTGGGGAAGAAGTACCCGAGGGTGGGTGGGGAAGAAGTACCTGGGGGCGGGTGGGGAAGAAGTACCTGGGGGCGGGTGGGGAAGAAGTACCTGAGGGCGGGTGGGGAAGAAGTACCTGGGGGCGGGTGGGGAAGAAGTACCTGGGGGCGGGTGGGGAAGAAGTACCTGGGGGCGGGTGGGGAAGAAGTACCTGGGGGCGGGTGGGGTAGCTGAAGGAGAGGTTGCGGATCTCAAGCTTGCCCTGGAGGGAGGGGAGTATGCGACCTGGAGAGAGACGGGGGACAGGGAAAGGCATAATGCGGGCGAGAGATAAAGGAGAGGAGAGACAAAAGTGTGAGGGGACGGTGGGAGGACCAGATGACTCGATGGAGAGAGCAGACGCTCCAGATGGATTCTTCTGCTGCAGAAAAAACCATCAAGACTCATTCCCCTGTGTTCTGAGTGTGGAACAATCTGCGGCAGGAGCCAACAGGAGCCAGCAGGAGCCAGGGGAGTCCATCAGTCGACTTACAAGTCACCTTGCCAGAATGACACATGAGTGGCCCGGTGTCCCTGGCAGTCCCGAACCAGCTGCGCTCGCCCTTGCCCCCCGTGAGCTGGTCCGTGTGAGCTGCTCTGCACTTACCGCTGCCCTTTGTGAACTGGTGCGAGTGCGGCAGATCCAGCAGTTGGAACACTCTGTGGCACGAGCCCACCGCGTCCATGAGCCCGGCCCAGTGCGTGCCCACACACCACATGTTGCGCACCACCCACTCCACGTACAGTATGACCCGCGTCAGCTGCTCCGGTGCTATATGACCTGCCATCACGGCTCCACCACCCATTACTAGCGCCGCCACCTGAAGGGAGGAGGGAATGAGGGGAGGCAGCACCATGTTGCATGTACTACCCATCCACCACGTGGCATGCAGCACCCACCACGTGGCATGCAGTACGCACCACGTGGCATGAAGCACCCACCACGTGGCATGCAGCAGCCACATTTCGAGTGGGATCAAGAGAACAAACTGCATCAGCTGCTCTGCTGCGATGTGCCCGCCATCGCTGCGCCTCCTCCCATGGCTGGCGCCAGCACCTCAAGGAAGGGCGATGGTGATGCACAGGGTGCACATGGTGCACAGGGTGCACGGGGTGCACGGGGTGCACGGGGTGCACGGGGTGCACGGGATGCACATGGTGCACGGGGTGCCCGAGGCTCAACCCCTGCACGAAGCAACCTCCACCAACATCGCACGCTTCATCCTCCAGAAGCTGATCTGCACCCATGGCTGTTTCGCCGTCCTCCACACCGACAACCGGGGACATTTCCGTGGGGATGTGGATACTCTCCTCCTCAACCAATTCAACATCTACCACTCATTCGGGACACGAGACCATCCACAGAGCCAAGGCTTGGTCGATCGCTTCAACAGGACCCTGAAGGGCGCCCTCAACCGTCTGGGCGATGCCAACCCCCTTCATTGGGACGACAATATCTGGCTCCTCCTCTTCGGGTATCGTGCCTCCATCCACGATACCACCAAGCACTCACCGTTCCAGCTCCAATACGGCCGTCCAGCTTCCATCAGCTGGACTGGACCCCACGACACTGTTAGAGATAGGCTGCAATTCGGTTGGCACAATTTTGTGTGTTGACACTTTCTTGGTTTTAGGGATACTCATATTTGTTAGGTTGGGTGTAGCTATGTTTTCATCCCCAACCTATCCCAACCCAATCCATCCCAAATCCCCACGATTTGGGAGGATTCCCTTGGGATTCCCTCCGATTCTCCCTTATCCCTTCCCATCCTCTCCGATGCTCGGTACTTAAGGATGTATGCTCTTGCTCATTTCAATCAATCAAGTTCTCAGTTTCTGATATGGTATCAGAGCTCGTTTCCGCCTAAGCGGCTCTTGATCCTCTCGCTCCGTTGGAGCCTAGCATTTGCGTCTTACGACGCAAAGCTTTTCTAGTCGCCTCAACTCAGCGCGGCGCTTCTTTTCGGGCTGAAGCCCGTCGCCCCGCATCTGCTCGTCACACCTGATCGGGCTGAGCCCGTCGCCCCGCATCTGCTCGTCGTACCTGATCGGGCTGAGCCCGTCGCCCCGCATCTGCTCGTCGCACCTGATCGGGCTGAGCCCGTCGCCCCGCATCTGCTCGTCGAAGCTGGACGGGCTGTCGCCCGTCGCCCTTGCAACAGCGGGGGGGTGCAGCGGCGAAGCGGAAAGGGGGCAGCGGCGAAGCAGAAAAGGGGGGGTCGCGGAGCAGCGGGATTGCAGCAGCACATCGCGGGTTTCCATAGATTTTTGGCGTTCAGATTTCCCTCTGTATCGGCTATTCCTCTTCTCCGAGTGTTGAAAATCCGCAAAGGGAAACCCTGTTTTTCGCGGAGCCCGCGCTGCGCGCAGTCGCCGAAGTGCCTATCGGCGACTTAAGAGCTGCGCTACGCGCGGAGAAAGGGTCCTTGGAGCATCATGGCGTATCCTTCCGCGTCTCTCTCAAACCCGATCACTCCCTTGCGCCTCGACCCAAATGGCTCGAGCCCGAACTTCAAGGAGTGGAGCTATGGGGTTGATAAGCATCTCCTAAGCCGCAAAATTGAGGGGATTTGCCTCAAGGATGTCCTCCTCAATCGCGGCAAAGGAAAGATGCCGATCCTTCCCAAGAAGCTCTCGGCCACAGCCACAGGGGAAGAGTTAAAAACCCATGAGGAATCCATGTCCAAGTATGAGGAATCTTACAGCGTGTGGGAGCAAGCCGACGCCGCTATCATTGGCGTCTTCGTCGGCAGTACCCCTTCCGAGCTCGTCAAAACTTACCATAACTACCCCTCCGCGCACGCCATCTGGGAGTACCTCAACGACCGCTTCCTCAACAAAACCGCTGTGGGGGTGGCGATCCTCATCCCCCGCATGTTTCAAGTGCGTCTGGAGGAGTGCCCTGGAATGGCAGATTACGTCGCTGAAATTCAAGGGATTCATCAGGAGCTGAAGCAACTCGGCATTGTCTTCCCAGAGCAAGCCCCTGCAGCAGCACTGCTTGTTGGGCTGACCCCCTCTTACAATGTCACCCGCTCCATGCTTCTCCATCTCCCGCCAGAAGAGCTAACCTTTGCCAAAGTCTCTTCCGCACTTCTCTCTGCTGAAAAAGACAACACTGCGCAGGCTCGTGCAAATGCGCTTCGCGCTCCTGTCCCGGCTCCAGCATCGCGTCCCAATCCGCCACCCACTCGTAACCGCTACCCACCCTGTCCTTACGTCATCAAAATGGGACCCCGTGCGGGTCAGGTGTGCGGCGGCACCAATCACCCGCTCGCCACCTGTTTCAAAAAGAAGGACGACGACTGGTTCGCCAAGAATGGTATCAACTCCAAGCCGCCCAACTGGCTTCGCATGCGCCAGCTCAACCAGGTTGAGGCACAGGATAGTCAGGACTCAGCCGTTCATGCCCCTAGTCCTGATGTTCGTCTCAACCTGTTGTTCCCTGGCCTTCCCATGATCAATGAAACCAGTTCCCAGTACTCGACGTCTCCACAAACACCATCTAAACCGCTTGAATTCGTCCTGGACAGTGGCGCAACCCACACAGTCCTCCGAGACAAAGAGTCTTTCAAACCATACCAAGCACCCATTCCTCTTCTGGGCGCTGACTCCAGCTTCACAACTGTCGCCCATGGTTCCTCCACTCTTCCATGCCCAGCCTTCCCATCTGGCACAGTCACTGGCATATGCGTGCCCACTCTTCGGCACAATTTACTTGCACAACATGAGATTCAACGAGCAAGGGTAACCACTATCTTCCCAGCTCATTCCAATCACTGTGATCTCCTTCAGCCCACCACCAATGCCCTACTTGCACGCTTCACACTGACCGCCAACAACCTCTACACACTCCAAGTACCTCCATCTTCCACAGAAGCACACTCTACCTCCACCACATCATCATGCTCCTGCCGTCAGCTCACCGATCCAACCATTCTTTACCACCATCGTCTTGGGCATCCCAACTTCCGCATGCTCTCCGAGCTTGCGTCTAAGAAGTTGCTTCTTCACCTGCCCGACACACTTCCTCCACCCTCCACTTCTCCCGCTCCTCCATGCTTGGACTGCGCGCAAAGCAAACTACGCCAGTTGCCTCACCCTTCCTCGCCCTCTGCTGCAGCCGCCCCGCTTGACCTCGTCCACATGGACGTCTGGGGCCCAGCTCCAGTCCGCTCTCGTGGCGGGCACTCTTACTTCCTAGTGCTCGTTGACGATCACTCTCGCTATGCCTCCGTCCACCTACTCTCCTCCAAAGCAGCTGTTCCAGATGTCGTCATCGCATGGCTTCGACAAGCCCAAAATCATTTCCGCACTTCAGTCAAGTGCCTCCATTCCGATGGCGGTGGCGAATTTCGAAACCATTCCCTTCAAGCGTTCTGTGCCTCCCAAGGCATTCGCCAGACCTTCACCCTTCCCCACAGTCCGCAGCAGAATGGCATTGCCGAAAGTCGCAATCGCACTCTCGTGCAAATCGCTCGCTGTCTTCTCACTCACGCTGGTGCACCACCTTCCCTTTGGGGTTACGCCCTCCTTCATGCCACGCTGCTGTACAACCTTCACCCTCACCCTCTTCGGCCTGCCATCACTCCCGCTGAACTGTGGACCGGCACCAAGCCCAGTGCACGTCCTCTCCGCGTATGGGGGTGTACAGCTTATGTCCTCCTCAACCCTCAGGAACGTCGCACCCACGGCGGCAAATTTGCACCCAAAGCTCAACCCTGTGTCTACCTCGGCCACAACCTGGACTCTCCCGATTACCTTTTCCTCAATCTCTCCACCAATCAGCTCATTCGTAGCCGCGATGTCGCCTTTGACGAGAGTCGCCCTTTTTACCTCTCTTCACCACCCCCCACCGCTCCACCTTTGCTTGTGTGGGCTGATTTCGATACTTCACCCACCCCACCTCCTCCCTCTGCCGCTCCTGCGGCCCCCTCACTCTCACCTTCCCCATCTCCTTCCACTCTCTCTCACCCCTCTTCGCCCACTGGCTCAGTTGCCCGTTCACCTCCGCCTGCGCCTGCACTTCCCCTTGCACCCGCTCCTGCAGCTGCCCCTCCACCTCCCTCTCCTTCTGTGGCTCCCCCTGCCCCCGCGCCTCCCTCCCCGCCTTCACCTCCGCTTCCGCCTCCAACCTCCACCTCTCCTCCCGACTCGCCCATCACCTATCGTCGCCGTCGCCACGGCCGCTCTTATGTCGATGTCCCACCTGCTCCCCCGCCACCTCCCTCCTCTCCTGTCCCTATTGCTCACCGCACCCGCTCTCATGGTCCCGCTCCGCCTCTCGCCCTCTCTGTTCGCATCTCCCTCAATCCGCCTCCTCCTGCCGGGGGTGCATCCATGCCTGGCCTCTTGGAGGATAGGCATGAGGAGCTGATTGAGATCAATGCTGCCATCCGTCAGCTCTGCCATCTCTTCCCCGACCTTGCCGACGCTCCAACTCTTAACTTCTCGGAAAATCCATCCATCCCGACCCCGAACTCATATGATGAAGCCATCTCTGGACCACACTCCCCCCAGTGGCTCGCAGCCATGATCGCGGAGTGTGAAGCATTCATTCGCAACAACTCTTTCACGGACGTCTCTCCTCCGCGAGGAGTTAACATTGTCCGTGGCAAATGGGTTTTTCGCGTCAAGCAGCTGCCTGGCGAACTCCCAGTCTTCAAGGCGCGATACTGTGCAAAAGCCTTCACGCAGAAGAAGGGCCTGGACTTCTTCGACACCTTCTCTCCGACAGCCAAACTGCCCACACTTCGGACTCTGCTGGACATCGCTGCTCGATGCAACTTTGACGTTCACTCCATGGACGTCTCTGCTGCATTTCTCCAAGGGGATCTCCCCGAGGACATCTACATGGAACGTCCTCAAGGATTTCCCTTACCCTTTCCACCCGGCACGGTCTGGAAGCTGAATCGACCAGTCTACGGGTTGAAGCAGGCTCCTCGGGAATGGCACAAGAAGCTGAAGGCAACCCTCGAGTCACTCGACTTCCACCCCTCCTCAGCCGATCCGAGTCTCTTCATTCGCAAGAACGACAACCCGTTCTTCATCCTTGTCTACGTTGACGACATGATTCTCGTCTCCAAGGACTCCGATCAGCTGGCAGCTGTTAAGCAAGCTCTTGGGGACGCTCTCGCCATGAAGGACCTCGGTGAACTCAAGAACTACCTTGGGATGGAAATCTCGCGGGATCGCGAAGCTCGAACCATCACTCTCTCTCAAGAGTTCTATGTGAACAACGTCCTCAAGCGTTTTGCCATGGACAACGCCAAGCCAGTGGCCACTCCCCTTCCCTTGCAGCATGATCTGACCACTCCATCAGTTCCATCGCCTGAGCCTTGTGATGAGGCATACCCCGAGCTCGTCGGATCACTCATGTATGCGATGATGTGCACAAGGCCCGACCTCGCCTACCCCATCAGTGTGCTCTCGCGTTACGTTGCTGCCGGTCGATACACCAATCGCCACTGGTCGGCTGCTAAGCGCGTCCTTCGCTACCTCCAAGCCACCAAGGACTACGTCCTCACTCTCGGTGGCACGACCCCTCCTCACCTCGAGGGATACAGCGACTCCTCATGGGCTGATGATCAAGCTGACCGCCGCTCTTCCCAAGGCTATTGCTTCACCCTTGGCAGTGGTGTCATCAGCTGGCGATCTACACGCTCATCATCCGTCTCATTGTCATCTTGCGAAGCTGAGTTATACGCAGGCACCATGGCAGCCCAAGAAGCTCGATGGCTTACCTACCTCATGGCTGAGCTCGGGTATCCTCAGCAGACCCCGACTCTGTGGTGTGATAACGAGAGCACTATCCACCTCACCAAAGATCCTGTCTTCCACCAACGAACCAAGCACATCGAATTGAGACACTTCTTCATGCGCGAGCTCGTCCAGCGAGGGCAGTTGTGCGTCAAGCATATTTCCTCTGACTGCAACCTCGCCGACTTGTTTACGAAGGCTCTTGGACGCCGTGATCACTATCGTCTCCTCCGTACCATGGGACTTGGCGTCCCTACGGCTTCCGACGTTGCAGCCTAGGGGGTGTGTTAGAGATAGGCTGCAATTCGGTTGGCACAATTTTGTGTGTTGACACTTTCTTGGTTTTAGGGATACTCATATTTGTTAGGTTGGGTGTAGCTATGTTTTCATCCCCAACCTATCCCAACCCAATCCATCCCAAATCCCCACGATTTGGGAGGATTCCCTTGGGATTCCCTCCGATTCTCCCTTATCCCTTCCCATCCTCTCCGATGCTCGGTACTTAAGGATGTATGCTCTTGCTCATTTCAATCAATCAAGTTCTCAGTTTCTGATAGACACCACCCCCATCGACCTCTCCGATGATGCGATGGCTGAGGCAGCAGCCACCACGATCTACAACCGCACATGCTTCTATGGGGAGGAGCTACGTGCAGCCGCCCACAATTCCGACATTGCCCAAGAGAGGCAGAAGCTGAACTTCGACCTCCGATGCACCACCCGCACGGAGGACGAATCCATCAAGGTCGTCGATTTCGTCGCCGTCGAACCCGCCAACAAAAGGATCGATTGGACCCAGCAACCCGCTCGCTTCCGCCAGCTCTACACGGTTGCCGCTGTCGATGACAACATGCTCAAGCTCAGTACCAAGGATGGCCAATTCTTTTGGCAGCCACGTGAGAAGGTGGCTCTTTATAAGCTCCGAAAGTAGCGTCCAACCGAGTCGGGCGTCGCTTCATCTTCCCCAACCGCCCGACTAGCATCACCGTCATCAGGGGATGACGAGCTTTTTCGAGGGGGACAGCCAACAGCAATAACCGTCTTTTACAGCCAGCAGCAGCAGCGTTACCGCTGACCACCGCACTCCACCCCTTTCCATCTCCCTAGACTTTTTATTCTTTTCGCCTTCCCCTGCTGCATGAACCGCTCTTTTTACCGTCCTGATTCATTCCTCTGACGGGCGATGAAACACGTTCCTACACCAACCCGAAGCATCAGATCTCCAAGCAACCGCTCGTGACAGAAGATCTTGTCTGCGAAACCGGAGGAAGGGGGGGGAACGTTTTTGGGACATTATTGGAAAGTGGGACGGATGGTCGAGAGAAGGCGAACCGTCTCTCCCCCTTCAGCTTGAAGCCGGCCACGCTTCAGCCTATAGCACACTGCGACAACGATCCTTCCAATGGCTCATCGACCGGCATTATGCCTTGCACCAACCACCCGAGCCATTTTCCGGACCCATCCCCACCAACCGACATGGTCGCAAACCTACAAACCCGAGCGTGACCAACCGCCCGAGCCGCGCATTTTGGTAGCCCTCCCCCCTCCATATTTTCATCCTTTATAGCCTGCCAACCGCCCCGAACCGCGTTGCAACCGCCAGGTTCCGGATTTCACCCCTAACCTGAAAGGCGAATCGACAGCCATCCAAAACCGCTCGAGCCGCGACAGCCAGGGTATAGGAATCAACCCCATCCCAACTGCCAACCGAGCCGCAACCGCCAGGGTTAGAGAATCACTTCATGGCACAGCCAGCTGCTATAGATCCAGCCACCATCAACATTTCCTCATTATTTTCCAACTCTCATTTTCGACTCCAAATTCTCAGTCATGGAGCGAACTCGCCCCGATTCTCCCATCTTCAGGACCTCAGGGCCTCCTGATCCCCGAGACCTGAAGCCGGGCCATTTCCTGCACAAGCCCGAGCCCCTTCCGACTTGGGGTTCGCCATTCCCCATCTTCAGGTCCCCAAGTCGGAAGGGGCTCGGGCTTGTGCAGGAAATGGCCCGGCTTCAGGTCTCGGGGATCAGAGGCCCTGAGGTCCTGAAGATGGGAGAATCGGGGCGAGTTCGCTCCATGGCTGAGAATTTGGAGTCGAAAATGAGAGTTGGAAAATAATGAGGAAATGTTGATGGTGGCTGGATCTATAGCAGCTGGCTGTGCCATGAAGTGATTCTCTAACCCTGGCGGTTGCGGCTCGGTTGGCAGTTGGGATGGGGTTGATTCCTATACCCTGGCTGTCGCGGCTCGAGCGGTTTTGGATGGCTGTCGATTCGCCTTTCAGGTTAGGGGTGAAATCCGGAACCTGGCGGTTGCAACGCGGTTCGGGGCGGTTGGCAGGCTATAAAGGATGAAAATATGGAGGGGGGAGGGCTACCAAAATGCGCGGCTCGGGCGGTTGGTCACGCTCGGGTTTGTAGGTTTGCGACCATGTCGGTTGGTGGGGATGGGTCCGGAAAATGGCTCGGGTGGTTGGTGCAAGGCATAATGCCGGTCGATGAGCCATTGGAAGGATCGTTGTTGCAGTGTGCTATAGGCTGAAGCGTGGCCGGCTTCAAGCTGAAGGGGGAGAGACGGTTCGCCTTCTCTCGACCATCCGTCCCACTTTCCAATAATGTCCCAAAAACGTTCCCCCCCTTCCTCCGGTTTCGCAGACAAGATCTTCTGTCACGAGCGGCTGCTTGGAGATCTTATGCTTCGGGTTGGTGTAGGAACGTGTTTCATCGCCCGTCAGAGGAATGAATCAGGACGGTAAAAAGAGCGGTTTATGCAGCAGGGGAAGGCGAAAAGAATAAAAAGTCTAGGAAGATGGAAACGGGTGGAGTGCGGTGGTCAGCGGTAACGCTGCTGCTGCTGGTTGTAAACGACGGTTATTGCTATTGGCTGTCCCCCTCGAAAAAGCTCGTCATCCCCTGATGACGGTGATGCTAGTCGGGCGGTTGGGGAAGATGAAGCGACGCCCGACTCGGTTGGACGCTACTTTCGGAGCTTATAAAGAGCCACCTTCTCACGTGGCTGCCAAAAGAACTGGCCATCCTTGGTACTGAGCTTGAGCATGTTGCCATCGACGGCGGCAACCGTGTAGAGCTGGCGGAAGCGAGCGGGCTGCTGGGTCCAATCGATCCTTTTGTTGGCGGGTTCGACGGCGACGAAATCGACGACCTTGATGGATTCGTCCTCCGTGCGGGTGGTGCATCGGAGGTCGAAGTTCAGCTTCTGCCTCTCTTGGGCAATGTCGGAATTGTGGGGTGCACGGGGTGCACGCCGTGCACGGGGTGCACGGGGTGCACGGGGTGCACAGGGTGCACTGGCACATAGGTGCATAAGTGCATGAACGGGTGCATGAGTGCGTGGGTGCATGGCTGCATGGGTGCATGAGTGCGTGGGTGCATGAGTGCATGGGTGCATGAGTGCGTGGGTGCATGGGTGCATGGGTGCATGGGTGCATGAGTGCGTGGGTGCATGAGTGCATGGGTGCATGAGTGCGTGGGTGCATGGGTGCATGGGTGCATGGGTGCATGGGTGCATGAGTGCGTGGGTGCATAGGTGCATGGGTGCATGGGTGCATGGGTGCATGAGTGCGTGGGTGCATGGGTGCATGGGTGCATGGGTGCATGGGTGCATGAGTGCATGGGTTCATAGGTGGTGAACTAGGTCAGCTTCTCCGTTATTATGTGTTGTCGCATCACAGCCCCTCCTCCCATCATCAGCACAAGCATCTGAGCGATGGAGGCGAGGAGATGAGAGCGCGTGCGGCAGTGCGTAGACGTAGGAGAGCACACACAAGGGTGAAGGGCGAGGGGATGGGAGTGATGGGGTCACGTCACTCCTGGTGTCCGTGGGGACACAATACGGTTGTCAACTAGGTTGGAGGGCCATGCTCCCCGTTCACATCCCACCATCACTTCTCACACGCCCTCTGTCACGGTTTGCACCCCATCGTCGCTGTTTGCACACCCAGTGTCATTTCCCCCATCCCGGTACCTGCGTGGCATTGTAGATGGTGTTGCCAGCGCACGCCCACAGCCCGTTCGCCACGCACCTCCTCGAACCCACATGCACGATGCGCTGGAGTGGCGCCTCGTACCTGGTATAAGCACACTCGCATGCAGCAACAGTTGGGTTCTTGTTGAAGCATGTGATGGTACAGTACCGCAGTGAAGCTGGGGAAATAACACCAAAGCAGGGGACTTCAAGCAGGGCGCCGCGTATCAGGGCACCGTATGTCAGGGCACCGTATAGCAGGGCACCGTGTATCAGGGCAGCGTATATCAGGCACCGTATATCAGGGCACCGTATATCAGGGCACCGTATATCAGGGCACCGTATATCAGGGCACCGTATGTCAGGGGCACCGTATGTCAGGGCACCGTATATCAGGGCACCGTATATCAGGGCACCGTATATCAGGGCACCGTATATCAGGGCACCGTATATCAGGGCACCGTATGTCAGGGCACCGTATGTCAGGGCACCGTATGTCAGGGCACCGTATGTCAGGGCACCGTATGTCAGGGCACCGTATGTCAGGGCACCGTATGTCAGGGCACCGTATGTCAGGGCACCGTATGTCAGGGCACCGTATGTCAGGGCACCGTATGTCAGGGCACCGTATGTCAGGGCACCGTATGTCAGGGCACCGTATGTCAGGGCACCGTATGTCAGGGCACCGTATGTCAGGGCACCGTATGTCAGGGCACCGTATGTCAGGGCACCGTATGTCAGGGCACCGTATGTCAGGGCACCGTGAAGGAGGGGACAGCGCAGCAGGGATTGCAGTCCAGACGTCATGGCACGGATAAGAGAGTGCAGGGAATGCAAGAGATGAGGCCCTGACTGACCTACTGCACACAGGGCAGCCTCACCTGGCGACTTCTCTCATCTCACCTGGCGACTTCCTTGCTCTCCGTGCCAAAGGCCCTCACCACCCGGGCCAGCGACAGGGTCTCCTCCGCCACCTGCGGATGGGGCCAGCGGTGACGGGGTGCGGACGGGAAGGGGGCGAGGGTGGGTTTGGAGTGGGGATGGGCCAGCGGTGAAGGGCGACAAGGGTAGGGATGGGTGGGGAGGGTCACCGTGATGATGGCATGGAGGAAAGCACCGCATGGGCATGGTGTCCGAGCAATGCCTCATGAGACGGGTGAGAGAGAGGCCTCCCCTACTACCATTGGAGGTGGAGGCACGAAGGGGGATGGTTAAAGGGCGGGGGGAGATTGGGCTATCGAGGCTGGAAGTGATGGCGATTGGGTGAATCATGGAGATAGGACAAGCATGGGGTTCTTGGGTGCGCATCCAACATGCTGATGGGTGGTGGACGGTCAAGATGGCAATGGGTGGTGGATTGCCAAGATCGCCATGAATGGCGGATGGTCAAGACCTAGCGTTAGTTGAGATGGCTCTTTTCGCTTGCAGACTAGGCTGCAGGAAGGGGAATGTTCACCCGCCCAGGGGTGATTCACCAGGGATTGAGCCACTAGGGGATTGGACGAGTGGGAGGTTGCCTCACCGCATTGGCTTCTGCCTCGATGTCTCGGAGTGCCACGGCGCTCCGCCGAGAGAAGCTGGACCATGAGAAGAGCGGAACGCAGGGAGGCAGAGAGGCAGAGAGCAGAGAGGCAGAGAGGCAGAGAGGCAGAGAGGCAGAATGGAGGAGGCAGAATGGAGGAGAGGGGAAGAATTGAGGAGTGGAGCAGAATGGCAGTGGGGCGAACACAGGTGGACATAACGAGACAAGGACAGAGCAGTCCGGAAGAGAGCAGAATATGAGGGGGAAAGGAATGGCAAAAAAAAGATGGCTGAGTCAACGGAGGTATGGCGCTACGACATTAGCTGTCTGCCACATGTCCCTGCCATGATAGTGCAGGAGCAGGCACCACATACGTGGCATAGCGCAGGAGCAGGCACCACATGAGGGCACAGAGGGCAGCAGTCACAAGGGCCATCTGCCAGCTTAGGTGCATGAGGACCACAAACGCCCCTGTGGCCTGCTCGCCCGTGCCGGATTGGGGAGGGGGCAAAGAGAGGTGTGGAAGGAACAAGTGGAGAGGAAAAGTGGAGATTCTCATATGGCATGGACAACTCCAAGGCTCAGATGGCATGGACAACTCCAAGGCTCAGATGGCATGGACAACTCCAAGGCTCTGATGGCATGGACAACTCCAAGGCTCAGATGGCATGGACAACTCCAAGGCTCAGATGGCATGGACAACTCCAAGGCTCTGATGGCATGGACAACTCCAAGGCTCAGATGGCATGGACAACTCCAAGGCTCAGATGGCATGGACAACTCCAAGGCTCAGATGGTATGGACAACTCCAAGGCTCAGATGGCATGGACAACTCCAAGGCTCCGATGGCATGGACAACTCCAAGGCTCAGATGGCATGGACAACTCCAAGGCTCCGATGGCATGGACAACTCCAAGGCTCAGATGGCATGGAAAACTCCAAGGCTCCGATGGCAGGGAAAACTCCAAGGCTCAGATGGCATGGAAAACTCCAAGGCTCAGATGGCATGGAAAACTCCAAAGGCTCAGAT